CTGCCTGTAACTACTTTTTTTATGTTGCCAGTATTGGTATATGTCAGAAAAGGCTGGGACCCTACTACTTTTTGTTTGTTTAAGAATTACTTATTTAATTTTATTTATTCATTCATTTATTTTTATTTGACCAGAGAGAGACACAGAGAGAAAGTGAGAAAATAAACCACCAGGTCCAAGACTCTCACCGTAGTTGGCCATATGGGAGTGTCCAGCGCCTTAACCGCCACACCACCTGCTGATCCCCCTACTTACTTTTATATTTAGTATAATACTAAACATAGCTGTCAAATGTGTTTTTTTAAATATATCTTTGTGTTCTTTCTAAAAGTACAGTGTTTAGAAGTACTCATCAGTTTGCTTAAATTTGAAAAGTCTTAAGACCAGTTTTTGTCTTTATAGGTTTAAAAGCTAACTTCTAAATTTCAAAAAGTCTCTAATTCACCGAACTTTGTGTGTGTGTGTGTGCACGCGTGTGTGCGTGCACACACATGTGTAGAACCCATGTAAGTCTGGAATCAGAGATACATACTCCTCTTTTGTAGAAGCGTGGATTTGAAAGTAGTCACAATATAGAAGTACATACAGGCTTCTGTACTAACACATGTACATACATGTATTAGTAAGTGGTAGAACCTGAATTCAAAGCCACTTGTCAAATTTAAGGTGTGTGTCTTTCCCAGTACCCTGAATGGAAGTCCTTGAGTTTTATGGAGGATTGGCTCCAGGACATGTGTTCATACAGAGTTAGTAAGAAAGAATCCTCTCGGCAGGATCTGGTCATGCTGTGATCCTCGTCCTGTAGCCCATAGGAGCTTGCGTACACAGGCAGGTGTGCCAATCTTTCAGGCTGACTAGGCCACGGATTCCAGCTGTGATTGCCATGTGGGACCCAGCTTCTCCTGAGTAGCACATTACCACTGAGCCATGAAGCTGCCCCTCCCCCCTGCTTTAAATCATCTCTAGATTATTAATAAGAAATCTTAGCATTGGATAAGTGGGAAAAATTTCTTTAGCATCTCTCTTTTAGGGAGCTACCTCTTTCCCCATTTCATAACCGTTGTTACAGCCCTGTTATGTCTGTGGCCAGTTGAACTCACAGATTGAGGAACTACAGATGTAGAAGCCAAACTGTACAACTTGATATTTCTCAGAGCCTACGGGCTTTAAGAAAAGTTTTTTTCTTTGAAAAAGACCTCAGTATAGTATGAAAGTTTGAGAACACTGCTCTAATTCCAGTGGGAACCGAAGGAACAAATTCCTTTGGCTGTGTTGAAGCAAACTAATTAAATTACAGGGCCCAGAAGTGAATTAAAATTATTGTCCTAATCCTAAAGTACAATTTAAGAAAATCGAGGGGCAATGAGATAAACATAGGACACTTAGGAGACCAGTGCACTGATGGTAGAGAGGAAGCTATGGATTCAGTTTTAATTTTTGTACATGTAGCATTTTAGGGTGTAGTAAGCATTTAGTACTGTTTGAATGAACTCAGAATGATGAACCTGGTTATCTATTGAATGTGGATGTGGGAGCTAAGAGAAGGAAATCACTAAGAAAGCACCTTTAAGAATTCTGTTTGGAAACCGGCAGGAGGTGTGGTGGTTAAGGCACTGGACACTTCCACATGGCCAACTCACTTTCCCTCTCTCTCTTTGTCTCTCTGGTCAAAACAAAAAACAAAACAAACAAAAAAACCCACTAAATGAATAAATAACTAGAATAATTAAAAAAAAAAAAAGAATTCAGGGAACAGCAGTTGGTGTAATGGCTATGTCACTAGACTCCCATGTAGTTGACCGCGGTTCGAGTCCCGGACCTGGTGGCTTAAACTCATGCCGGGCGCGTGTGCGTGCGTGCCCACCCAAGATCCTGAGAGGAGAATGGAGGAGAAGGGATTGCAGCGTGGCCATCCCCCCTGGGGAGTGATTTCTCTCTGTCTCTGTCTGTCTGGCGAACACACGTGCACTATAGCAAAAACCTCTCCAAAAAAAAGAAAAAAAAATGTTCTGTAGTCTTAAGAGTCTTTTTTAATTGCAGGGGGAGGGGCAGCAGAAGGTTGATAGTTGGGGCTCTGGGTTCCCACATGTCCAACCATGAACCAGGCAGCTTGAAAATCATTCTGAACATGTATGCCCAGAATCCCAGGAGAATGAAGAAGGAACTTTGGCATGGTTACTCCCCCTAGAGAGGGTGATTTCTCACTTTCCCTCTATCCCTCTCTCTGGCTAGTGCACATGCCCTATAGCCAAAAAAAAAAAAAAAAATCATCAAAGGATACATGTACTTGCTAGAACCAGAGAGAGAAGTGGGAGGAAGCATCCCCTAGTGGGGTGCGATCATGCCTCAGTTCCTTCTCCTCCGTTTCTCTGTCCTGTTGGGATTTGGGGCACATGCAGTGCACCTGTCATGCTTTGTAAACTGCCAGGTCTGAATTCGAATATTGTTGACCATATGGGCCCCAACTCCCATAACCTATTGGCTACAGGACTGGGCCTGTACCCTTTCATTTTTTTTTAAGATTTAATTTTATTTATTACTTTTTTTTTTTTTTTGCTGTAGAGCACACACAATCACTAGAGAGAGAGAAAGTGAGGAAGCTAGAAAGCAAGCTACCAGGTTCAGGACTCAGACTGTGGCAGCCATGTGGAGTCCAATGTCTTTAACCATGCCACCTGCTGGCCCCATAATACTGTTTTGTCTTTTTAAGAATTATTTTATTTAATGTTATTTATTATTATTTTTTAATTTGGACAGAGAGAGGGGGGAAATGAGAAAGTAAACCACCAGGTGTGGGACTTGAATCGTGTTGCTTGTGGGAATCCAGTGCTTCTGCCAGCCCCAGCATTGTTTTAATATTAACCTTTTGGGGGAATATTTGGGCCATAGGCTAGATCTATATGAGTACTAGGAACTTTTTAATACTTGAAAACATAAAAATGGGTAGAGCCCAGGGCCAGCAGGTGGTATAGGGGTTAAAGTGCTGGACTCCTATATGACCAACTGCGATTCGAGTCCTGTACACAGCAGCTTGAAAATTAGCTGGGTGCCTGTGTGTGCATGCCCTAAATCCTAGAGGAAAATGAAGATGGAATTGTGGCCTGGCTTTCCCCACTTGGGAGTGATTTCTTATTTTGTCTTTCTCTGTCTCTTCAGTGAGTGCACATGCCCTATGGCAAAATTTTAAAAAAAGAAAAAAAAAGTTGCTATAGCCCATATCTGACTTTTCTAGTGAATTAACGCATTAATAAATTTGTTGACTTTATTTTGGCATAAGTTCCAAAAAATATTATGACAAACCCACTCACTAATAAACTCAGGATTATGTTTCATTCCATTCCTGTTATATTTTAGATTAGCTGTGGATCTATGTAAATTCAGTTTTAATCCCCTGTACACAAGGGTTTTTTTTTTTTTTTTTAACATGAAAAGTTCTTACGTTTTGAGATTTAGTGAGAGTCAAATTGCTATCTCTCACCTTCTGAGATTATGGTTCTTTGATTTTTAAATGTTTTTTCTTTCTAGACCATTGGTACTCTCCTCTCCTGAAAAAGTTTTATTTCTGAATGTCAGTTTTCACCTCTGTTAGGGTTTGAACATGTGTTGCTCAAAAATTCACGTGCTGAAATTTAGTTGCCATTATGACAATATTAAGAGAATCGAAACTTAAATCTGACTGTAGTATTAAGAGGTGGAACCTTTGGGGGTAATTATGATTAGATAAGGTCATCAGAATGGGCCCCCATGATTAAGTACTCTCTTGCTCTCTCCATATGATGTTCTGCGTTGCCTAGGGACACTGTGGTCCCCACCATCAAGAAAGCTGTCAGCAGATATGGCATTTCAACCTTGGATCTCCAGAATTGTGAACTAAATAAAACTTTGTTCTTTTTAAATTATCCAGTTTGTGGTATGTAGTTATAGCAATAGAAAAATGGACTAAAACAATCTCTACTATCACTATCTTTTTTTAAGAATTATCTATTTAGGGACCAGCAGTTGCTGTAATGGCTATGTCGCTGAACTCCTGTAGTTGACCACAGTTCAAGTCCTGGACCCGATGGCTTAAACTTATGCCGGGTATGTATGTGTGTCCAAGATCCCGAGAGGAGAAGGGATTGCAGCATAGCTATCCCCCCTGGGGGAGGGATTTTCTCACTTTCTGTCTCTCTGTCTCTGTCCTTCATGCTCTATAGCAAAAACTCCAAAAAAAAAAAAAAAGGAATTATCTGTTTATTTTTGTTATTATTATTTTAATTTAACCAGACAGAGACAAAGATAAAGAGGGAAAGAAAGCGTGAGAAAGCAAACCCCCAGGTCTGGGACTTGAACCACAGTCAGCTATGTGGGAGCCAGTGCCTTTAATTACCATGCCACTTGGTGGCTCTATCACTACCTTTTTTTTTTTTTTTTTTTTTTTTGATGAAATTTTCTCTTTAGGGGGCGTTTTTTTTCAGAGAGAGACATAGAGACAGAAAGCGAGAAATCACCCCCCAGGGGGGATGGTCACGCCGCAATCCCTTCTCCTCCACTCTCCTCTCGGGATCTTGGGCACGCACGCACACGCGCCCAGCGTGAGTTTTAAGCCACCGGGTCCGGGACACGAACCGCGGTCGACTACATGGGAGTCCAGCGACATAGCCATTACGCTAACTGCTGGTTCCCCCTCTGTCACTACCTTTTGAGGGTAAATACATTAAAAAGTATTAGAGTGTGCAGTGCTTCTCAGACAGAGAGCACCTGCTGCTGCTATAAAGAAAGGCACCTGGACCACAGGGCAATGCTCTCAGTTTTACCTGAAGATTTAAGTTTGATTGATGACCAGTGCATTAAAGTTGCTTCAGGCAGACTTGTAATATGTTAGTTAAGGCAGCAGGATCCCACATGGCTAACCTCACAGTTGGAGTCCTGGATCCAGCAGCTTAAGAAACATATCAGGTGCGGGAACACCTGCCCAGAGTCCTGAAGGAAGGGAGAAATGAAGAAGGGATTGCAGTGTGGCCATTCCCCATGGAAGGTGGGTGCTTTCTCACTTTCCCTCTCTTGCTAACTTGTGCTAGCTCTCTCTGGTATGTGCACATGCCCTCTGACAAATTTAAAAAAAAAAAAAAAAAGTTGCTTCATTGATTATAGCCTCCCTTTTTAACGTTGGGGCACTCTTACCCAACTGTAATTTCCTATTTCTGTATCATATTTAGAAAGGAAGCTTTTTTATTTTCACAAGTGAGAGCTAAATTGTCTCATGACATTATTAAAAGTTTGATGTTCAGGGGCTGCAGGTGGTGTAGCAGTTAAGGTGCTGGACTCCCAGGTGGCTGACCGTGGTTCTAGTCTTGGACCCAGTGGCTTGAAACTCACCTGTTGGTGCCCAAAATCCCTAGAGAATAGAGAAGGGATTATGATGTGACTATTTCCCCTGGGGAGTGATTTCTCTCTTTCTGTCCCTTTGTCTCTCTGTGTCTCTGGTGAGCCTATGTGCCCTATAGCAAAAATCTCTTTTTTAAAAATAATTATTTAATTTTGTTTATTATTTAATTCAGCAGAGTTGGGAGTGAGAGTGCAAGTCACCAGGTCTGAGACTCAACCACAGTTGATCATGTGAGAGTCCAGAGCCTTAACCACCATGCCACCTACTGGCCTCACAAAAATCTCCCTTACAAAAAAATAAGTTTAATGTTAATAGTGATTTGGATTTTTTTTTTCCTGTTGTTTTAACACAGGTTTCAGTGTCATGCTGTTGATTTTCTCTCTTTCTTTTCTTTCTTTTTCTTTTTTTTTAATAATTATTTAACTTTATTTTCATTTGACCAGAGAGGGGCAGAAAGAGAGAGAGAGGGAAAGTGAGAAAGCAAGCTGCCAGGTCCAGGACTGGAACCGTAGTGGACATTTGGGAGTCTAGCGCTCTTAACCACCAAGCCACCTGCCCGCCCATGCTGTTGATTTTCTAATGAGAATGGCTTGGGCTGAGTGTTGGAATGAGGAATTGAGTGTATACCTTATTGGGAGGCTTGAGAAACTGAAATGACATATCTGGAATCTGTTCCGGTGGGCATGTGTTCTACTCTTTTAGGCTTTACCACCTTTTCCCTAGAAGGCAGCACAGTGCCCTGAAACATGGTCCGCTGTGGTATAGTATATAATTTGGTATTTCTGGACATAGACTCTTCCTGAGGTTTTCCTAGGGTAATTTATTCGCCCTTTCAGTTTACTTCTTTCTACTTTGAACAGTCTTAGAATTCTCTGAATTTTGAGAGTTCTCACCTTCTTTGTTAACCACTTTTTGTTAGTTTGCTACATATTAAAGGAAAAATGTGTGGTATATGTATAGGTAATATGTAACCTCTTTACTCAACCAATGTGTAACCTTTTTGCTGTAAATGAGTAGAAAATTGTACCAATAACATTGATTGAATATCCTTTCTAATTCAGAATATCCAGATATGCTTATTATTTTAATTTTTGTGGCTTCATGCCTGTTACTAGTTTCTCTCATCTGTCCTCTAGTAGCTTAAATCACAGTATTTCGGTTATTGTAACAATTATAATTATTACGCTTTTACTATCTAATAAGATTCTTCTTCATTCTCATTGGTTCTTAATATTTTTTTATTGTACTCTTATATTACATTTAATCACATGTATCTTTACAGTGTATAACATTGCTTTTTCAGTATGATTACCATGCATATCAGTCAAGACAGTACATTACTATCCATATCATCATCAAATAGCTTTTCTTTTTTTTCAGATTATTATTATTTATTCTTATTCTTGATTGTTTTTAGTATTTTGCTAATAAGAATTCTGTTAATATATCCATTCTTGTGTATATTTCTTCCTGTGTATGTTTCAACATGGTTATGTTACAGAAGTCTAAAATATACCAATAAACCTATCTGTATTCATTCTCTCAGACTATAAGAGGGCAACAGGTGCTTTATTTAAACCCTGTACTAGCTATTTTTGTTTTTCATTATCATTGTTATGTATAGATATATTTCCCAATACTTTGACACACTGTTCTTTTTAATCTCACAGATCGTCTCTTGATTTCTCTTCTTCTACTTTGAATCCTTTAAAGTTTTCCTTAAACTCACTTTCTGTCAAAAAATGTATTTTGCCCTTTTTTTGTTTTGTTTTGCTTTGGGTTGCATGCACTCACTGGAGAGAAACAGAGGCAGAGAGAGAGATGGAACGTGAGAAGGCACTGCCCAGGGTGGATGGCTATACCACTGTCCCTTCTCTGTTCTCCTTTTGGGATTTTGGATATAGATGCAGACGCATCTGGTGTATGTTTCAAGCCACTAGGTCTGGGACTTGAACTGTATAATCAGCCATGTAGGATCCAACTGCCTTAACCACCATGCCATCCACTGGCCCTCATTGTCATTTTTATTATTCTTTTTTTAATTTTTGAGAGGTTTTTGCTATAGGGCGTGTGCGATTGCCAGGAAGACAGAGAGACAGCAAGAAATCACCCCCTAGGGGGATGGCCATGCCACAATCCTTTCTCCATTCTCCTCTTGGGATCTTGGGCACACATGAATATGTGCCTGGCATGAGTTTAAGCCACCAGCTCCGGGACTCGAACCGTGGTCGACTATGTGGGAGTCCAGTGACATAGCCATTACGCCAACTGCTGGTCCCTATTATTACTTCTTTTTTTTAATGGAATTTTTTTGGGGGGAGCGGGACACTGGCAGATGGTGCAGTAGTTGGTTTGAGTCCTGGACCTGACAGCTTACTTTCTCCCTTTCCCTTTCTCTCTCTAGTCAAAATAAAATAATAATAACAAATAAAAAATACATAATTCTTTTTCTTTTTTGTTTGAGAGATTTTTACTATAGGACTTGAAGAGAGACAAAGAGACAGAAAGAGAGAAATCACCCCCCCAGAGAAGATGGCCACACGACAGTCCTTTCTCCTCCAGTCTCTCGGGATGTTTGGGCACACATGCACATGCTTCTGGTGTGAATTTCGAGTCACTGGGTCCAGGACTCAAACTCCGGTTGACTACATGAGAGTCCAACAACTTAATCATTATGCCATCTTCTGGTCCCCAAAATATATAATTCTTTTTTTTTTCACTATAGGGCCTGTGTGCTCACCAGAGAGAGAAATTGAGAAAGGAAGCCACCAGTTCCAGGACTTGAACCACTTTCAGCCATGTGACAGTCCATGACCTTAACCATCAAGCCACCTCCTGGCCCCTATTGTTTTACTTTTATTTTTTTTAGAGAGATATTTTTGCTATAGGGCATGTGCACTTGCCAGAGAGACCAAAGGCAAGAAATCCCCATGCAGGATTGGCCGTACCACAACCCCTTCTTCATTTTCTTCTTTGGATTTTGGTTACACATACATGTGCGCCCCGGCATGGATTTTAAGTTATTGGGCTTGGGACTTGAACTGCGGTTGACTATGTGGGAGTCCAGTGATGTAACCATCACACCATCTGCTGGTCCTGGCCTCTATTATTTTTTAAAATTTGACCAGAGAGAGGGGGCAGAGAGAGAAAGCAAACTTCCAGGTCTGGGATTCAAACCACATCAGCCGCGTGGGAATCCAGGCCTTAACTACCACACCACCTACTGGCTCCCCGGTACTCATTCTTAAGGATACTTTCATGTTACGTAATAACATACTGACATTTTTGTTTAGAGTTTTGAACATAGTTTAGCCTTCTGGCCTCATTCTAACTGCTGAAAGTCATTTCTTTTCATTATCTATACAGCCTAGGATTCACAGGATTTCATGATTTCAGGGAGTTGATTTGTCTCCACAAACCTCAGAAATATCAGGGCTGGCTGGTGGCATGGTGGTTAAGGCGTTAGGCTCACACATGGCTGGCCCTGGTTCGAGTCCTGGACCTGGCAACTTGAAAACTCATGGGGAGCATGTGCTTTTGTGTCCAAAACCCCAGGAGTTGAACTGAGGAGGATTTGCTGCATGACTATTCCCCCACCAGGGGGTGAATTCTCACTTTCCCTCTTAATGTCTCTCTAGAGCATGTGCATCCTTATGGCAAAAAACCTAAAACTAAAACAAACAATAAAACCTGGGAGATTCTCTTAGCGTATTGTATTTTCCTTAGTATCAGTGTTATATTTTGGGGAAATTCTCATTAGGTATATGTAAGATCTTTATTGTCTGTAACTTTTAACTACTCATTTCTTTGTCTCTGTGCTATGTTCTGAATAAGTGTTTTTTCTAGTTTAATGTCTTACTTATCCTTTGAGTTTATTTTTCTTGAATATTAAGTAGGCACAGAATATTTATTTGATGCACGAGTGCAAAAGAATATTTGTAAGACATAAAAGAATTATGATACAGGGTCGGCAGGTGGCATGGCGGTTAAGGTGCTGGACTCCCGCATGGTGGATCATGTTGTGAGTACCAGAGGCTTGAAACTCATGCCAGGTGTGTGTACGTACATGCCCAAAATCCTGAGAGGAGAATGGAGCAGAGATTGCAGCATGTCCATCACCCCACTGGGTGATTTCTCACTTTCTCTCTTCTGTCTGTCTGTCTCTGTCCAATGAGTGTATGGGTCCTGTAGCAAAAATCTCTCTCTCAAAACACACAAAATGGATTTTTGTAATTAACCTTCAAGACATAAAGCCAGTTGATAAGTCTCCCAGAATTTCTACCTTCTCTTCATTTTTGACTTTGCCAACTCAATCATTATAAAAGATAGTTTTATATTTTAATCAGCATTTTGATTATTTACAAAAGGAGGGAATAGTCATAGACTCTAGTTTTCTATATGTCAGAAGTGAAAGACAATTTTATATATATTTTTCCTGTCCAGTGAAAAGAGGTATGCCAAACTCAATTTCTTTCTCTCTCTCTTTCTCTCTTTTTTTTTGAGCAGTTTTTGCTATAGGATACGTGTCCTGGCCAGAGAGACAGAAAACAAAAAAATCACCCCCTCAAGGAGGATGGCCATGTCAGTCCCTTCTCTTCCATTCTCCTCTCAGGATTTTGGGCATGCATGCACATGTGCCAGGCCTGAGTTTCGAGCCAGTGACTCTGGGACTCTAACCACAGTTGACTATGAGGGAGTCCAGCGACATAACCACTATGCCATCTGCTGGCCCCAACCAAAATCAATTGTTTCTCTGGGCTTGGACATTTTATTATGGACTGTCTCCCTTTTGCTGAAGAGGTAGTTTTTGAAAATATATCATCTTTTTCGGAGGGTGTCTTTGAAAATAGGTTGGACAATAAGATGATTCACACTGAACCAGTTTGCAAAGAATTTAGAAATAATGTTTATTCTTAAGACATTTGACTTAATGAATCTTTTCATTCTTACAACTGGCTGGTAAATATTTTCTTAGGAAGGATTACCTCTGGGCCCAGATGTACATAATTTGTATTTTATAACCAGATTTTTAAAATATGTTTATTTTTATGTGGTGACTTTTTTTTTTTTTTAAACTGGCTGGAAATAATTATTTATTTTAGAATAATTTATCTTTTAAAAATATTTACAGTGGAATTATGCGAGATTTAACAGCTCAAGTGACGAGTGGTCTTCTGCAATTCCCAGAAGTGACTATTCAAGCCCTTGGAGAAGATGAAATAACATTAGAATCTGTGCTTCGTGGCAGGTTTGCTTCAGGTAAAATAATGTTGCCTCAGGTTTACTAATTTGACTGGTTTTAGAGATAAATATTAATAAGCATATATTATAATTTATTCAGTGTGAAAGGAAAAAAGCAGAACCTAGGTAAACTAGTTTCATGTAAATACATAACTTCTACAACTACCCATATAACACACACACACATGTACACACACACACACATACACACACACACACATATATATACACACACACTCTAGAGCAGGGGTCCCCAGTTCCTGGGCCAAAGACCGGTATCTGTCTGTGGTCTCTTAGGAACAAGGCTGTATAGCAGGAGCTAAGCAAAACTTTGTATTTACTGCCGCGCTCAGTCGTTTGCATTACTACCTGAGCTCCTGCCGCCTGTCACATCAGTGATCATTAGATTCTTTACTTTTCTTTTTTAAGAATTACTTATTTTAATTTTTAAAATTTGACTGGAGAGAAACAGTAGAGAAGCAAGAAAGTAAATCACCAGATCTGGGACTTAAAACATAGTTGGCCATGTGGGAATTCAGTGCCTATAACCACCATGCCATCTTCCAGCCCTGAGTCCTTAGATTAATTTTTTTTTAAGAGGTTTTTGCTTTAGGTTAGCATGTGCTGGCTGGAGAGAGAAAAACAGAGAGGGAAAATGATAAATCACCCCCCACACACACACCACAATCTGTTCTCCATTCTCCTTCTAGGATCTTGGGCACACACACACACGTGCCTGGTTTGAGTTTCAAGCCACTGGGCCTGGGACTCAAACCGTGGTTGCCCTTGTGGGAGTCCAGTGATATAACTTTTAAACCATCTGCTGGCCCGAGTCTTTAGATTCTTAAAGGCATGCAATCACTATTACGAATTGGCCATGAGAAGAATCATTCTCCTTATGAACATCTAATAACTGATGATCTGAGGTGGAGCTGAGGTGGTAATGCTATCATTGGGGAGTGGCTATAAATACCATACTACATTATGATGAGTTGCATAATTATTTCATTATATGTTACAGGGTAATAATAATAGAAATAAAGTGCACAATAGCTATAATGTGCATGAATTATTCTGAAGCCACCCCACCTCCCACCCCTGTCTGTGGAAATATTGTCATCCACAAAATTGGTTCCAGGTGCCAAATAAATTGGGGACCATTGCTCTAGAACACATTATCAACGAGTCTCTGATTAGGCATCTTCATTCATGTTTGCTTATTAAAAATTCTGTATATTCTTTGTCTTTTAGTATTGAATATATTTGGGATGTAGAAATAATACACACCTGACTTTACTTTATAATTAGTAAATTTTGTTGGTGATGAGTTTGAATTTGAATCTAAACAATTTGATGAGTAGAAAAAATCTGATTATAGGGCTCTGGTTGATAATAAATTTTCAGAAAGTCTTATTTCCTAATCCCATTAACCTGAACAAGATCTTTATATTAGTTTAGCTTGTGTAATACAGCAGAGAACCATACCGAAGAAGCCTTTATGTTATAAATTTCAATCTAACAGAAAATATTATAGAACATTTTTCTGAAAATAAGTTTCACAGCCATCCTTCCCAGGAGGAAGACAACAAAGCATATTTATAAATTATTAACTATTTATAGTGCTATTCTCTTAAATAATAAAAGTAGTAATAGTACTTACTGTATGCCAGGGACTATTATGACTTTTTGTTGAGTAGATAAGCTCTAAATAGGTTATGTTCTATGAAGTTGAGAATCAAATAGGCTAAGTTACTTGGTCCCAGTTAGACAGCAGGTGGCAGGAAGGAGTCTTGAACCCTGGCATCTTGTGTCCTCACTGTGCCATGCTACTTTCTTAAATTATAATAGTCTTTCTGAGCTGTAAGCTAGTATAACCTGTCTACTTGGTTGCATGATGGACACCTCAAATTCAGCAGTAAAAGTTACCGCTATTCCTCTAGTTGGCAATGTAAAAATTCATTCTGTTCTTGAATCTTTATTTTACTTACCTCCATATATCTAACTCATCAGCAAGCAAATTTTCTTACTTCTACTTCTTATCTAATCTTCTGTCTGTTTATTTTTTTCTGTCTACAGTGACTAACCAGGTATATACTTCTTCCTGTTTTGGTCTGTACTCCTCCTTGTTGCCCTTTTTTTGCTTAGCAGCTGGAGTTAACCATCTAAAAGCATAAATCAGATTGTCACTAACCTGCTTTAAACCTTCTAATGACTTTGTATTGGGAGCAGAATAAAACAGTAGGCTTGGTATTTCTTATTGTTATGCTAGTTTATTATCTTGTTAATTAGATTGTGAAGTATTCAGGGCTAAAATCAGGAGTTATATTTTATAACTGCCAGGGACCAGCAGTTAGTGTAATGGCTATGTCACTGGACTCCCATGTGGTTGACCGTGGTTCGTGTCCCAGACCCCGTGGCTTAAAACTCACGCCGGGCACCTGTGCGTGTGTGCCCAAGATCCCAAGAGGAGAATGGAGGAGAAGAGATTGCGGTGTGGCCATCCCTCCTGGGGGTGCTTTCTCGCTTCTGTCTCTCTCTCTCTGTCTGGCGAGTGCACGCGCCCTATAGCAAAAACCTCTCAAAAAAAAAAAAAAAGAAAAGAACTGCCATAGGTCCTAGTTTAATTCCTTGTCTAGTTAAAGTGTAAGTTTTGGAGTTAAATGTGAGATCTGCTTCTGGCTCTGTTCTTTTTAACTACGTGACTTTGGGTAAGTTAGACTGTATTAAATGTTATTTGTGTTATCTCTGTATTAAGGTGTGATGAGAAATAAATGACGTAATGTATTTAAGCACATAATATACTGCCTTTATGTATGATACTGCAATAATAGTTGCTCATTTTATTTCACAGATTTAAGGACCAGTCTGTTCTGTAAACGTTTGGATTTCAATTTGGAAATACATAAAATTTTATATAATCTGTATATTAATTACATTTACATGTAAAAGAGCCAACTGCTAGTTTTGTTGTGTTCATACAATATAAAAGTAAGCAATATTTTTACTTTTTTTTTCTTTTAGGGAAAAATGGACTTGCTTGCTTGGCTTGTGGTCCACAACTTGAAGTAGTGAACTCTGTGACAGGAGAGCGGTTATCTGCGTATAGATTCAGTGGAGTAAATGAACAGACTCCTATAGTGCTAGCAGTGAAAGAATTCTCTTGGCAGAAGAGAACTGGATTGTTAATAGGACTAGAAGAATCAGAAGGCAGTGTTCTCTGTCTTTATGACCTTGGTATATCAAGAGTGGTTAAAGCAGTTGTTCTTCCTGGAAGGGTAGGTACTGGACATTTTGCTTTTTTTGTTTCTTTATAAGCTGTAAGACATAGGAAAAAAGAGAAGACGCCCTTCTCCAGTGAAGTGTAGTCATGCTGCAATTCTCTCACCATTCTTTCATCTTGTTGGCCCTCATGCACATGGCCCAGTGTGTTTTTAAACTGGGACCATGATTCGAACTGCTGCGATCAGCCTTGTGGGATGTGGCTCCCTTAACAACACTAGGACCCTGAACATTCTGCTTTTAAAACTAGAGCCTTACTGGTTATACAAGCGTGTTTACTTTGTGAAAATTTATTGAACTGTACATTTATAATTAATATACTTTTTACTGAAGAGCCTTCCAAATAAAAGAGGTTAGAGGTGATAAATATGGCTTATTTTAGGCTAAAAATTTGAAGTGAAAGTACTACTGATAGCTAATGTTTTAATCTTTTACGTAAGTATCATCTGTACCTTGTTTGTACCTCTAGTTATGTTCTCTGAAGACAATGAAAGCTTATAGAAATGTATTCATTGCTGTGGGGTTTTTTGTTGTTACTGTTTTGCTATAGGGTATGTGCATTTACCAGAGAGGGGAAGAGAGGGAAAGTGAGAAAATACTCCATATGGCAATCCCTTCTCCACTCTCTTGGGATTTGGGGCGCAAATATACACTCAACCCAGTGTGTTTTCCAAGCTGTCAAGTCTGGGGCTTGAACTACATAGTCATGTGGGATCCAGCCACCTTAACCATTATACCACCAGCTGGCCCATCATTGCTGTGGATTTTTAAAATGTTTTTTCTTTTAATTTTAGACTGTAGTTTTGGGGCGATAAGGAAAATGTATCTTCACCATGTTTTAGATTTCAATATTTAAATAATGGGTTTATTAATCATCATTTATTACCTTAATATAAGTATGTGTGTGTGTGTGGGTGGGTGTGTATTTGTGGATCTTCCATATGTCACATTTCTTACCTGACAGTGATCATAGACATACTTGGAACTCCAGGTCATTTCTTCAACAGGTTTGTTGTTGCATGGTCCATACATGGTGAGAAAAAAGTATATACTTACAAATACACACACACATAGAAATATGAAATTATGTTAGATCATCAGGAAAGTCGTGACGTTTTTGCATGGAAAATACATCATGATTTTCCTAGTACCTGATAGATCAGTAGAATTCTTCCTATGGTATAGAAAGTATGCACTTAGATATAATATCAGTATATATGTATATGTGTTTGTATAGGTTTGCAATGAATATAATCAAGGTAAAATTGAAATTTCTAGTGTTTGTTTCTTTCATGGGGGGATCCCCCTGAGACAGAAACAGGGATTTCTGGCAGGGTCTTGCTATAATTCTCTCCCAACCCTGCCAGGCAGCGAGGATTCTGGGTATATCCACAGGTACCAGGTGTATACAGGTCCACCCAGAAACTGAACCCAGAGCCTTCCATATGGCTGCAGAATTGCTCCGCAGCACCCTACTCCTGCACCACTATGGCTGGATCTGAAGAATAGATTTTTTAGTTTTTACTATAGGATACTCAACAGGTAGAGGAAGTGGGAAAGTGGAAATCACCCCCATCCACTCACCTCAGGGGTGATGGCCACACCACAGTCCCTTCTTCTCTACTCTCCTCTTGGGATTTTAGGCATGCACATACATGCACTTGATATGTTTTTCAAGCTTCTGAGTCTGGGACTCGTACTGTGCAATGGACCATGTGGGATCCAATTGTCTTAACCACCAGGCCACCAGCTGACCCAAGATTAGAATTTTTAAAGTTAGGGACCAGCAGTTAGCGTAATGGCTATGTCGCTGGACTCCCACGTAGTCGACCACGGTTTGAGTCCCGGACCCGGTGGCTTAAACTCATGCCAGGCGTGTGTGCGTGTGTGCCCAAGATCCCGAGAGGAGAATGGAGGAGAAGGGATTGCGGTGTGGCCATCCCCCCTGGGGGATGATTTCTCGCTTTCTATCTCCCTGTCTGTCTGTCTCTCTCTCTCTGGCGAGCGCACGCACCCTATAGTGAAAACTTCTTAAAAAAAAAAAAAGAATTTTTAAAGTTAAAAGGGAGCTTAATGACAAAATTATTTTTATTGGGGAAGGAAGAAATGGTGAGGATTCAGATTGTGAATGGTCTTGCTTATAATTAGAGGCCACCACTTAAAGTCTGTGGTGAAATAGTTTTAAATTTTAATCAGAACTCTTGTGTAAAAAGCTCTTTGGACTGGGTCAAGGGAGGATTTTGTGAGAATAGAAACAAGATTATTGTGGTTTAGGTGAATAATGATGAGGAACTGGACCAAGGGATAATGGTCCAGTTTACTATAGAAGTGGAGGGGATGGGACATATTTTTAAAAATATATGTTCAGAAGGTAGCATGGGCAGGACTCCTTGATCATTTGAATAGGAGTGACTGAGAAGGAGCAAGAGTTAAAAAGTTCCCGATTGCTCAGTTGAGTGAGTGGTTGACATCATTACATGGAAGAGGGAATATGGAAGAAGGAAAATAATAGGTGAGTAGTGATAAATACCTTTCAAAGAAGTTCAGCTAGCTATTTTTTTTGGTTGGGGTCCAGTATGCCCTTGTAAACATGTCTCTGTTTAACTGCCTTCTAAAATTTATTAAGGTGGCTTATCAGTCATTTCATATGGGACTTGATGAGGAATCTAAACTGAGATAATCCTTCCTTTACCACCCTCACTGGGGAATTGAATACAATATGCTTTGATGGGGACCAGCAGGTGGTGTGGTGTTTAAGGCACTGGACTTGCACCTGACCAACCATGGTTCAAGTCCCAGACCTTGTGGCTTGCTTTCTCACTTTTTCTCTCTGATGAGTGCATGGGCTCTGTAGCAAATTAAAAATTGGAATAACGATAATTTGAAAAAAAAAAAAAAGAATTCTTAAAAAAAGAATATGCCATAGTGTTTGTAGACATTATTATAATAATTAAAAAGGGAAGAAAGCCCATGAAATTACAGCTTTCAGAGTTAAAGACACTACGTCATGTTTTGTTTACTAATGATACAGAGAAGAAGCCAGGCTTTTGTCTGTCATAATAAATTATAGCCTGAAAAAAACTTTTAATCTTATATTAACATATAAACTATTGATTACCAATTTTCCTCTATTCATTGTATTGTAGTAGAAGGCACCAAACACTTAATCATCATGTATCATACCTAATTCAGTTTCATGAATTAAAAAGAAATGAAAGAAAACTAAGTGTAAAATAAAATATTAATGATTGGGTATAGACTTTTAAAATTTTACTCATTAACTGAAGTGGAAATTGGCCCCATAAAGTAGCTGTGGTCTAATTTTCTTTAAATAATTAAAAGCCTCAGTAAGTGTCCGTGATCCAGTCACTGGCAAAGCTTTGTGTGAAGTCCATTGGAATATGACATGTATTTATTTATATTTTATTTTAAGATCGTCTTGCCATGTTGTGATCTTCCTTGCCTTAGTCTTACAGCTGGGACCTTAGATGCATGACACCACACACTGTTCTTTTTTAAACAAGGTCTTGCCGTGTTGCCCGGACCAACTTCTAGATTGTGATCCTCCTGCCTCAGCCTCCTGAGTTGCAGGTGCACATCACTGCATCTGGCTTTCAACAGGGAATTAAATTGGGCCTCCCATGTGGTCCCAACCACTGCCAGAGCACAGCATTTTAGCAGCATGTTCAGAATGTAACACTTTTAAAGAAGGTTAGACTTGAAGGTGTAATAGGACAGATTTTTTTTTTTAAAGAGTGGACATTCATTTTTCTGAGCTGATTTATTTGTTTCTTTTTTAAAAAAGTTTATTTGAGGGCCAGCAGATGGCATGATAGTTGTAGTGCCGGACTCCCAAATGCCCAACCACAGTTCGAGTCCTGGACCTCAGGGGTTTGAAAAACCATGCAAGGCGTGTATGTGCATGTGCCCAAAGTCCTGCATGGAGAGTGAACAAGAGGGGATTATAGCATGACCAAGGGGGGGACTTATTTCTTACTTTCCCTCACTGTCCCTCTTAAGCAACCGCACATGCCCTGTGGCAAAAACTTAGAGAGAAAAGATTATTTATTTCTTCTGTGAGTTGTATACACAAGAGAGAGACAAAGACAGCCCCCCCAGCAGGGTCCAGATGCTGCAGTCCACCCCTAGCCTTCAGCCAGCTCTCATTCATGGCCAGATGCAACCCATACACACTTAGAGAGGTCTCCAGATTTAAACCAGAATTTTCCCATGTGGTATTGGCTCACTAAACATCGTGTTTTACCACTAAGCCACCTTCTGCCCCTGCTGTTTTTACTTTTAAGAGACCATGTAATGGTAAGAGTAGCTGGTTTGAGCTTCATAACGAGAATAATTTAGGTTTGAATTTTACACTTAATGACTCTGACTTGAATAACTTGACTCTCTAAACCTCAGGTTATTTCCTCTTTAAACAGATAATTACAAATAGTCCAGTATCAAAGGTTATCATACACATTAAATGAGCCAGTTATTCCTGACAAACAGTAAACTCTCAATAAACATGGATTATTATTCCAACTGCATGATTTTTTAAAAAATATATTGAAATAATGGAGGCCAGGTGGTGGAATAGTGGTTAAGGTGGCCAGAACCCACACGTTAACTGCAGTTCAAATCCCAGATCCAGCAACTTGAAAAAGGTGCCAGGCACCTGTGCCAGTGCTCCCCCAGTTTCCTGCAGGGAGAGTTGAAGGAGAAGGCATTGCAGTGTGACCATGCCCCATGGAGGGTTGCTTTTCCACATTCCTTCTCTTTCTGTTTCTTCAGTGAGAGTGCATGTACTGTCTAGCAATTTGAGAAAAAGAAAAAAGAAATCATGGTTTATAATAATTCTTAAAATAGTGAAAGATTTTATTATTTCAGATTCACAAGTATCACAAATGCATAACTATATTGTACAATGTTTAAGTCTGTTGTAACTTATTGCCTACTTTAGCTTCAAAATTTGTTGTGCTTTACTTGTATTTTCTCCCTTTGTAGAAGAAAAGCAATTGTCTATTTTGCTTCCTAGGTAACAGCTATTGAAATGATACAGAGAAGAAGCCAGGCTTTTGTCTGTCATAATAAATTATAGCCTGAAAAAAACTTTTAATCTTATATTAACATATAAACTATTGATTACCAATTTTCCTCTATTCATTGTATTGTAGTAGAAGGCACCAAACACTTAATCATCATGTATCATACCTAATTCAGTTTCATGAATTAAAAAGAAATGAAAGAAAACTAAGTGTAAAATAAAATATTAATGATTGGGTATAGACTTTTAAAATTTTACTCATTAACTGAAGTGGAAATTGGCCCCATAAAGTAGCTGTGGTCTAATTTTCTTTAAATAATTAAAAGCCTCAGTAAGTGTCCGTGATCCAGTCACTGGCAAAGCTTTGTGTGAAGTCCATTGGAATATGACATGTATTTATTTATATTTTATTTTAAGATCGTCTTGCCATGTTGTGATCTTCCTTGCCTTAGTCTTACAGCTGGGACCTTAGATGCATGACACCACACACTGTTCTTTTTTAAACAAGGTCTTGCCGTGTTGCCCGGACCAACTTCTAGATTGTGATCCTCCTGCCTCAGCCTCCTGAGTTGCAGGTGCACATCACTGCATCTGGCTTTCAACAGGGAATTAAATTGGGCCTCCCATGTGGTCCCAACCACTGCCAGAGCACAGCATTTTAGCAGCATGTTCAGAATGTAACACTTTTAAAGAAGGTTAGACTTGAAGGTGTAATAGGACAGATTTTTTTTTTTAAAGAGTGGACATTCATTTTTCTGAGCTGATTTATTTGTTTCTTTTTTAAAAAAGTTTATTTGAGGGCCAGCAGATGGCATGATAGTTGTAGTGCCGGACTCCCAAATGCCCAACCACAGTTCGAGTCCTGGACCTCAGGGGTTTGAAAAACCATGCAAGGCGTGTATGTGCATGTGCCCAAAGTCCTGCATGGAGAGTGAACAAGAGGGGATTATAGCATGACCAAGGGGGGGACTTATTTCTTACTTTCCCTCACTGTCCCTCTTAAGCAACCGCACATGCCCTGTGGCAAAAACTTAGAGAGAAAAGATTATTTATTTCTTCTGTGAGTTGTATACACAAGAGAGAGACAAAGACAGCCCCCCCAGCAGGGTCCAGATGCTGCAGTCCACCCCTAGCCTTCAGCCAGCTCTCATTCATGGCCAGATGCAACCCATACACACTTAGAGAGGTCTCCAGATTTAAACCAGAATTTTCCCATGTGGTATTGGCTCACTAAACATCGTGTTTTACCACTAAGCCACCTTCTGCCCCTGCTGTTTTTACTTTTAAGAGACCATGTAATGGTAAGAGTAGCTGGTTTGAGCTTCATAACGAGAATAATTTAGGTTTGAATTTTACACTTAATGACTCTGACTTGAATAACTTGACTCTCTAAACCTCAGGTTATTTCCTCTTTAAACAGATAATTACAAATAGTCCAGTATCAAAGGTTATCATACACATTAAATGAGCCAGTTATTCCTGACAAACAGTAAACTCTCAATAAACATGGATTATTATTCCAACTGCATGATTTTTTAAAAAATATATTGAAATAATGGAGGCCAGGTGGTGGAATAGTGGTTAAGGTGGCCAGAACCCACACGTTAACTGCAGTTCAAATCCCAGATCCAGCAACTTGAAAAAGGTGCCAGGCACCTGTGCCAGTGCTCCCCCAGTTTCCTGCAGGGAGAGTTGAAGGAGAAGGCATTGCAGTGTGACCATGCCCCATGGAGGGTTGCTTTTCCACATTCCTTCTCTTTCTGTTTCTTCAGTGAGAGTGCATGTACTGTCTAGCAATTTGAGAAAAAGAAAAAAGAAATCATGGTTTATAATAATTCTTAAAATAGTGAAAGATTTTATTATTTCAGATTCACAAGTATCACAAATGCATAACTATATTGTACAATGTTTAAGTCTGTTGTAACTTATTGCCTACTTTAGCTTCAAAATTTGTTGTGCTTTACTTGTATTTTCTCCCTTTGTAGAAGAAAAGCAATTGTCTATTTTGCTTCCTAGGTAACAGCTATTGAACCTATAATTAATCATGGAGGAGCCAGTGCAAGCACTCAGCATTTACATCCAAGTCTGCGATGGCTTTTTGGCGTGGCAGCTGTGGTAACTGATGTTGGACAGATCCTTCTTATTGACCTGTGTTTGGATGACCTGTCATGTAGTCAAAATGAAGTAGAGGCGTCAGGTAAATTCATCATTCATTACTTAAGGCCAGAAATTGAGCATCTGAAGATTTTATAGAAAATTACTCATGTATCTTTATCTCTTCTTGTCTGGAACTGTTCGTACCTCTTACATGAGTTACTTAACTTTGTCGATGAGAGGTGTTCATATGCTAAAATGGGCCTCAAAAAAGGGAGAGATACTGATTTACTTGTTTCCAGATACATAAAGTAAATGCCATAACAAAGGCTAAAGGTAGAAAATCTTGATCCTCATCAGCTAGTATTAATTATCCAACCACGTAACATCTAATAGCGTGTAGGAAAACAGCAGGTGTGTGTGTGTGTGCCTAAAACACAAAAGGAGGGAGAAATGGAGAAGAGATTGCAGTGTGACATTCCCCTTCACCACTTCTAACAGCATTAATAATAATTCTTTGATATTCAATCCATAATCAGATTGCTCTGGTTGTCTAAAGCATCTTGTTACCTTTTTATTGTTTAAATTGAAATTCAAACAAGGTCCTCATGTTAATTTTGACACATCTCCAGTCTCCTCCAGCACATTACAGTCTTCTTTCTATCCCGTTTTTATTTATAGTATCACTGACTTGCTGAAGAAGTTAGTTATCATAGGGACCAGCAGGTGGTGTGGTGGTTAAGGTGCTGAACACTCCCACATGGCTGACCATGGTTCAAGTCCTGGACCTGGTAGCTTGCTTTCTCACTTTCTCTCTCTCTTTGTCTCTCTCTGGTCAAATTAAAATAAATGAATCAATAAATAAAATAAATCTTTAAAGAAAAAGTTAGTTATCTGGATAGAATATAACATATTTGGAATTAACTGTATGGGTCCATGTGGTATTACTTATATTTTGTGTTTTTTGCAAATATTAGTTATTATAGCTTCAATTGTAGATTTGAAGATTAACATTGTACCCAAGATACTTTGGAGGTGCTGGGTACTTCATATTATATTACATCAGGAGACAAATGATTGCCAGTTGTTTCAGTTAGTATACAGTGGGTTCAAATGATGACAACATGAACTCTTATTTTTCCCTGCTTTCTCTCTTTTTTTTTGTTTGCTCTGGGACTCACATGCTTACTGGAGAGAGACAGAATGAGAGAGAAAGTGAGAAATCACCCCCCCCTCCCCAGTGAAGATGGCCACATTGCAGTCCCTTCTTCAGTTTCTTCTACTTGTTTCATTCATTGGGATTGTTTTGTGTTATCTCTTTTCAAGGGCAATAAAATGGTGATTTTTAAATTCTATCAATCTAAAGAGTTTTACACTGATCAGGGCTATTCGATTATCATGGACTACAGTTAGTACAGAAGAGAAAGATAAATTCTCAGTATTTCTTGGCCCAGACACTGGTACAAGTGTGAGGGTGTTACTGAACAGTTGTTGGCACCTCATGGGAGGCGAGGTTAAGTTCCTGGCCCAACCTAAACAGGCAGTGCATGGTGGTATGGTTTCTCTGGTTCTACCAACTGGGAGGCTGGTGTGGTAAGACTATCTAAATAATGCCTACCTCTCCCTCCTTCAAGCTCATGCACATTCTCTCTCATGACTTTTTAAAGTGTTTCTTTCTCTTTTTTGGGAGAGGTTTTTGCTATAGGGCGTGTGCACTCGCCAGAAAGACAGAGACAGACAGACAGAAAGCGAGAAATAACCCCCCGAGGGGATGGCCATGCCGCAATCCCTTCTCCTCCATTCTCCTCTCGGGATCTTGGGCATGCACGCACACGTACCCGGCGTGAGTTTTAAGCCACCGGCTACAGGTCGCAAACCGCGGTCGACTACATGGGAGTCCAGTGACATAGCCATTACACTAACTGCTGGTCCCTTCTTAAGTGTTTCTTTTTATTTACTTATTTATTCCATTTGCAAGAAAGGCGGGCACCCCCAAAAAGGTCCTCATGCTGTGGTCTACCTCCAGCCTAAGCCAGCCTGGATCACAGGCAGGTGTATCGCTTGCATGTAGAGGGAGGCCCCAGGCTGCATACTGGCAGCTTTCCCGTGTGGGTCCAGTTGTGTTACTCTTGTACAACAAACTGCCCTGTTTGTTTTAAGTACTAATTTGGGGGGTAAGGAGTTGGTAGCAAATTGCTTACATTGGTTAAATATGAAGTCTTTTTAAGGTGTTTTTGATGCTTAAGATATCTTGTCTTTGTTAATGAGAGCCTTTTTTGTTGGTTTGTTTTTAAGAGAAATTTTTGCTATAAGGTATTGCTCTTGCTAGAGAGACAGAGACAGACAGCAAGAAATCACCCTCCTGGGGATGAATATGTCACAATCCCTTCTCTATTCTTCTCTCAGGATCTTAGGAATGCATGCACATATGCCTGGCGTGAGTTTTAAGCCACTTGGTCCAGAACTTGAACCACGGTTGACTACGTTGTAGTCAACCATTATACCATCTGCTGGTACCTTATGCTATCTGTTTTGTTTTTTTTTTTAAGAGAGGTTTTCACTATAGGGCGTGTGCGCTCGCCAGACAGACATAGAGACAGAAAGTGAGAAATCACCCCCCAGGGGGGATGGTCACACCGCAGTCCCTTCTCCTCCATTCTCCTCTTGGGATCTTGGGCACGCACGCACACGCGCCTGGCGTGAGTTTTAAGCCACCGGTTCTGGGACGCGAACCACGGTCGACTACGTGGGAGTCCAGCGACATAGCCATTACGCTAACTGCTGGTTCCTGCTTATGCTATCTGTTTTTGAGAGAGAGATTTTTGTTCACCAGAGAGATAGAGACAGAGAGATAGAAAGTGAAAATTACTCCCCAGGGAACGGCCACACTGCGGTCTCCTCTCCATTCTCCTCTTGGGATTTGGGTATGCATGCATGTGCATGACGGTTTTCTGTGTGTGTGTGTTTTGGGGGGGGGGTTTGCTATAGGAGGCATGCGATCACCAGAAAGACAGAGACAGAAAGCAAGAAATCACCCCCCCAGGGGGGATAGCCACGCTGCAATCTCTTCTCCACCATTCTCCTCTCCGGATCTTGGGCACGAATGCACATGCGCCCAGTGTGAGTTTAAGCCACCGATCTGGGACTCAAACCGTGGTCGACTACATGGGAGTCCAGTGACATAGCCATTACACCATCTGCTGGTCCTCATACACATGAGTTTTAAGCTGCTGGTTCAGGACTCAAACCATTGTCGGTTGTCCAATGACATAATCATTATGCCATCTGCTGGTCCTGAGAACCTTTTCTTATTATCTGGCACATCTCATTTAGTCTTTGGTAGCTTTCTAGACTTCTTGCATATATAAGATGTACCAGGTTCATCTTATATATTTCCTACCCATACCTGGAATTCTTCATTCCTCCTAAAGTATTTAGTTGCTGTCCTAAACTTGAGTAAAGAAATAATCAGCTTTTTAAATTATTGTTATTGTTAAGGAATTTAACTCTTAAAAATAATATTCTATGTTAGAAAATATTTGAGATATATGGAGAAGATTTTTTGAAAGAATTATTAGATTTTGTTTATTATTATTCATTTTTTTCCTTTCTTTTCTTTCTTCCTTTCTTCTCTCTTTTCTTTCTTCTTTTCTTCTTTTAATTTGACCAGAGAGGTACAGGGTGAGAGAGAAAGAGAAAGTGAGAAAGCAAGCTACCAGGTCCAGGACTCGAACCGTGGTCATCCATGTTGGAGGGAGTCCAGCACCCTTAACCAGCACACCACTTGCCTGTCTCTATTATTTCTTAATTTGTCCAGAGAGAGAAATTGAGAAAGCAAGCCTCCAGGTCTGAGATTCAAACTGTGGTTGCCATTGGGAGTTCAGTGCCATAACCACCACACCACTTGCCAGCCTTAAGAATGATTTTTTTTATTCACACAACTAGATATATTTCTAAAATTATAGCGTTTACATAGACAAAAATGGCTGTGTTCTAGTTCAGTGAGCTTTGTTTTCACTAATCATTTTATTTTCATTGATTCATTTAATTGATTCAGATAGTCTTCATCTGTGGCTTGAAAAGGAGGTGGCACATTGTGTTAATGCTTTCACAGTTCGTTAATCTTGCCTGTCTTCTTTTGTTTTTAGACCTCGAAGTTATAACTGGTGTCCCAGCTGAAGTCCCGCACGTCAGGGAAAGTGTGATGAGAGAAGGACGACACCTGTGCTTCCAGTTAGTGAGTCCATCAGGAACGGCCGTCTCCACTCTCAGTTACATAAGCAGGACAAATCAGCTTGCTGTTGGCTTTTCTGATGGCTACCTAGCACTTTGGAATATGAAAAGTATGAAAAGAGAGTAAGTATAACTTTTTTTCCTACTTGAATATTGGTGGCTTGATCTTCAATGTAACTTGTACTCAGTATTTGAAAAGTAGTATAATGAGGAAGGGGTAAGGTAGATTAATGATTGAGTGATTATTAGTAATTTTTCAGTGCGTTAAGTTATAATTTGATATAAAGATGACTTACACAGTAGTTTAGGTTGAGTTGGTATTTATTTAAAAGGTATTACAGACCCAACCATGGTGCTGGTGGTAGGACCACTGTGCCTTTACTAGAGCCTTATGGGAAGCCTGAGTTTTGCCCCACTTATGCCTGTGATTCTGGCTCACTGGGAAGCTGTTTGGGAGGATTGTGGTCAGACTCTATCAAGGGTTTATGCCTTCCCACCCCCAACTCATGGGTGAAAGGAAGTGAGAGAGGGAGAGAATCGTAAAAATGAAAAGAAATTGCAGTTATTTTGGTGTTCCATTTGCTAACAAAGCAGGACTATAAAACATGTATTTATGTACTATGTGTTCCTTCAGAAGTACTCTTCCCTATAATCATCTAAGTATCAACTTAATGAAGTGTTCTTTGGGCTGGACAGTGACACAGCAGTAAAACATGATGCTCTGCAAGGCTGACCCACATAGAAGGGTTCCAGGTTCACATCCCGAGACCTGTCTGAGTATGCTGGGCACGTGTGATCCGTGACCTGGGGCTGGCTGAAGCTAGGGGTGGATCATGGCATCACGACCCTGTTAGAGGTGCTGTGTGTGTGTATGTGTGTCGCTCATGCATGAAGTAAATAAAATTAAAAATAATGTTCTTAATTGACACAGGATTTTAAAATGTTAAAGTTATAAAATACAATTAAAATTTTTTGTCATGTCATAAACTTTCCCAGAATACAAATGCATTGATACTCTTATCTATGGAGTTAAAGTTGTCTATGATATTAAGGGAAGTAGCAGGTAGACATTATAGTTGTCTTTTAAGTTAATCTCTGTTAAGAATTAAGTAAGTATTGTTTTGGGACTTAGGTAGTTTATTCCTTTCTTCCTTTCAGGGAATATTGGTCTATTTTCTTGAGTAATTTAGCTTTTTTTTAAAAAATTAAATAGTTCTGTGTTTTTTGTGTTTTTTTTCCTTTTTTTTAAGGAGAGATTTTTGCTATAGAGTGCACACATTTGCCAGAGAGACAGAAAGCAAGAAATCACCCCCAGGGGAGTTTTGGGTGTGCACGCATACACACCTGGTGTGATTTTGAAGCCACCGAGTCTAGGACTTGAACTGCGGGCTACTATGTGAGAGTCCAGCCGTGTAGCCATTATGTCATCTGCTGGTCCCAGAGTGTTTAGCTTATAGAAGTTCATCTGAATTCTTTGCTGACATCCCTTTATCAACTCTTCTTTGAATTGCTTTAAAGAAGTACCTAGAGAACCTATCTTTTTTAGAACTATCATCTCTTGGCTAATTTTATGTTTTAAAGCATTTGTGGGACACTCTACAGCTTCTAACTCATCTTTATGTTTTCATAGTGAGGAAACTGACTCTAAGCCCAAGTGGCTGAATTGGAGTACTATGGCAGTATTTCATCTCTGATTTGGACGTCTAATATGTGACTCTTAAGTGATTCACACACATGTGTATACATGCTTTAGTGTTTCTAACCCTTCTGAGTTCTGCTCGGAGATGGGTGCCATGGCCAAAGCCTTGATGTGACCTCTGTTTGTTTATTTATGTGTGTATTAGAGAAAGGAGGAGAGCAAGAGATTAAGATTGAATTTTGGCTGGGTGTCACTGTGTCAGGATCCTCCTGCCCCAGACTCCCAGCCATCTGGGACCAGGTGCATGCATGCTACTGTGTCTGACCTGCTTTAGGTTAGGCTAGGAATTGAACCTGGGCCTCCAGTCCAGCCTTAGCCTCTAAGTAGCGGCATCCTAATAGTGTGTGTCACTGCAACTGAGCTCCCTGAGTGTTTTTGAAGGTAACGTGACTTGGCCATGCTCTGTAAATCACTCATTATTGGGGGTTGTGTGAACAGCAGTTACCTAACCTGAATTCTAGATGAGATACTGCTTTTCTTTCTTTTTTTTTTTCCATAAGATTTTAACTTATATATATGAAATGTACTGATGTTTTGTCTATTTTAGGTACTATACACAATTAGAAGGTGGAAGAGTTCCTGTATATGCTGTTACTTTTCAAGAACCTGAGAATGATCCTCGTAATTGCTGTTACTTGTGGGCTGTTCAGTCTACACAAGATAGGTAAATGTGATAAATGTGGTTAAAAAAATACTTGTGGAAAATGGAACAAGTTCATTCTTCTGGGAAGCTTTATACTTTATAGTTCTTTTAGTCAAAGTGACATCATTCTGGCAGTGAATTAATGAGTAGTAGTTGAAATTATTTTAGAAGTCAAATGATTATGTCTGTATGGTTAATTTTGAGATAAAAATAAGAATAAATTGTGCCTAATCTTTGAAATACATTCCAAACAAGCCAGGTAAGCCAATACTGATAAGTAGGCAATCTTTTGTTGTCTTAAGTTATTTTTATGACCTTGCACTCATAAGAACACACACACATACATACCTAGCAAGCTGCTAGATCCAGGACTCAAAGTATAGTTGGCCTTGTGGAAGTCCAGGACCTTAACCACCACGCCACTTGCTGGCCCCAGTGGTTTTTGGTTTTGTTTCTTTTTTTTGTTTGTTTCATTTTTTTCTATTTTCAGAAAAAGAGTACAGTCTCCGGAGGAGGGGGATAAAGTACCTCTCAGTTGGACATAATCACCCTGCAATCCCTTCTCCTTTTCTCGATCATATTGGGATTTTGGACATGTATGCATACACATCCAGCATGTCTTTTCAAGCTTGCAGGGCTGGGTCTCGAGCCATGGTTGGCCATGTAGAATCCGGCTCCTTTTTAGCCAGTAAGCTATGGTGCCAAAGATCTGGTATTTTTTGTCTTCAATTAAAACCTTTAAATTAGTGGGTCATGCAAATTAGTGGGTCATGCACCTTTAACATTATTGGGACTATGAGTATGTAATACAACCGTACATACACCCACATACAAAACAGTTCAAAGGAACTCTCACACTGTTCTAAGTTTGTTTACTCATTGAACTACATGTCAGGATCCTGCTTTAAATCATTCTTAGACTAATCTTTTATTTTACAAAGGTGTGTAGTATTGGGAACCAGCAGTTAGCGTAATGGCTATGTCGCTGGACTCCCATGTAGTCGACCACGGTTCGCGTCCTGGACCCGGTGGCTTAAAACTCAAGCCGGGCGCGTGTGCGTGCGTGCCCAAGATCCTGAGAGGAGAATGGAGGAGAAGGGATTGCGGCCTGACCATCCCCCCTGGAGGGTGATTTCTCGCTTTCTGTCTCTATGTCTCTCTCTCTCTCTGGCGAGCACACGTGCCCTATAGCGAAAACCTCTCAAAAAAAAAAGGTGTGCAATATTGTAAAATGTCTGTTCTTCCCCTGTTCCTGCTAGTCAGTGACTCTCTCAGCACCTTATGGGTCTTATAAGTAAGTCAAAAAGCAATTATAATATGAACTTAGTTTTTAAAGTCTATATCAAGAAGACAGGTAGTGTGGCTTTTTTCTTCTTAAACAGAACAGTCATTTAAACAAAGTAAAAGGGGGGGACCAGCAGTTCACATAATGGCTATGTCGCTGGACTCCCATGTAGTTGACCGCAGTTCGAGTCCCGGACCCGGTGGCTTAAACTCATGCTGGGCACGTGTGTGTGTGTGTGTGTGCCCAAGATTGCGAGAGGAGAATGGAGGAGAAGGGCTTGTGGCATGGCCATCCTCTCCGGGGTGGTGGTTTCTCGCTTTCTCTCTCTCTGTCTGTCTCTTTCTGGCGAGCGCACGTGCACTATAACAAAAACCTCTCAAAAAAAAAAAGTAAAAGGGAAATGAATCACTATAGAATAAATATACCACCATAAAATTAAATGGCAATAGATCTTAAATTGTTGCCATAATGCTCATTGATTACAGTGAAGCTTTGATTTTATAATAGGGAAAGGTGAATGAAAAAAACTGGATGGTGTCATCTTTGACTGTTCATCGTATGAAGTCTATCTTGTTGACTATTTGAGTTGTAGAGGCTATTCGTCCTTGCTTTATGGCCATGTATTTATTCATTGAGCACAATTATTGAGCATCTCCTGTGTGCCAGTAACTATTCTTTTTTTTTTTTTTTTCTTTGAGAGGTTTTTCACTATAGGGCGCGTGTGCTCGCCAGACAGAGAGAGACATAGAGACAGGAAGTGAGAAATCACCCCCAGGGGGGGATGGTCACGCCGCAATCCCTTCTCCTCCATTCTCCTCTCGCAATCTTGGGCACACACACACACACACGTGCCCAGCATGAGTTTAAGCCACCGGGTCCGGGACGTGAACCGTGGTCGACTACGTGGGAGTCCAGCGACATAGCCATTACGCTAACTGCTGGTTCCCTGTGCCAATAACTATTCTAGGGAATATAACAATGCATAGGACAGATACAACTTATGTTCTTCTGTAGTTTATAAATCTACCTAGGAAGAGAGTTAGTAAATAAACTATTATAATACATATATTTAATATAATCTAATTAATTTAACTGGTTCAATTACCTCAGACCAACTAAATTATTTTCTAGTGTTAAGGCCCAATAAACATTACTATTTTTTTCAAAGTTTCTCTTGTGATTCTCATATTAAGCAATCAGGGATGAGAACCACTGGCCTATTGTGAATGAGAGTAGCTGGACAAGAGAGCTGGGAACTGAACATTGAAACTGTCTTATATTTAGAGTTACATGGAAATTGACAGCAAGAGGGCATGGTAACTAGCAAAGGAATAGGAGTGTATGTTGTGGTATGCTGGAAGTCAGGTAAAAGAAATGTCTTAAGAATGAACTAGATGGAACCAGCAGGTGGAGTAATGGTTGATTCTGGACTCCCACTCAGTCCATCTGGTTCAAGTCCTGGATCCAGAGCCTTAAAATTCATGCTGGACACATGTGCATATGTGCCCAAAGTCTCAAGGAGAATGAAAGAGAAGGAATTGCAGCATGGCCATGCCCCTTGGGGGGGTGATTTCTCACTTCCTGTCTGTCTCTGTCACTCTGGTGAGCACATGTGCCCTATTGCAAAAAAATCTGTCTCTAAATAAAAAAAAAAAAAAAGAATGAACTAGTAATAACAATTCACATTAAAATGATATACCTCTATAATCAGACTAATAGAAGGTTGAGTTAGTATCTGCTTCATGTCCCTTTTGTATAGCTCTTATCCTCATAGTCCAGAGCAACATCTTTTTAAGTAGAAGTTCAACAAGATAGAGGAAGAGACTAGAAGATGCAAAGAACATGTTGTCCCTTATGATGGTCCTCTGTAGTTGTCATGGGAAAATTCTGTATACATCTCATTGGTCCAAAGTTGGCTCCAAAGCTACTACACCTGCTTGTGAAGAAAACAGAGAAATGTAATAGATAATTAGGCAGCCATGTGTTTAACTAAAGCATCCTCTATTGAAAAAGGAACATTTGAAACTCACGCCGGGCACGTGTGTGTGCCTGCCTAAGATCCCGGGAGGAGAATGGAGGAGAAGGGATTGCGGCGTGACCATCCCCCCTGGGGGGTGATTTCTCGCTTTCTTTCTCTATGTCTCTGTCTGTCTGGCGAGCGCACGCGCCCTATAGTGAAAAAAAAAAAAAAACAAAAAAACAAACAAACAAAAAAACTCTCAAAAAGGAACATTTGAGAAAGGATATTGGGTAAACATTTACTGTCTCTGCTCCAGTAAGGTATCGTATGAAGTATGCAAACATTAGCCTAGGAAATTTAGATTCAGTAAAAAGTAAAAATCAGTTGCTGTTTCAAAGGACTAAATTTTGTAAAAATACCTAAATAGAACTTAAGTTCTTCTCAGTGACTTGGTTTTGTGAATACATGCAATGTATGCAAACTCAATTAATTGAGGTAGTAAGAGATGTTCAGTATATTAATATGATATTTAATGTCTGACATCAGTTAATTTTCTTTCTTGCAGTGAAGGAGATGTTTTGAGTTTGCATCTGCTTCAGCTGGCCTTTGGTGATAGAAAGTGTTTGGCATCAGGACAAATCTTATATGAGGTAATGGTAATTGTAATATGGGTTCATAATAACATTTTGTTCGTCGTTTCCTTATGTTAGGTGTACTGGCTTTAAGATATTAAAGGATTTTTTTCTTATATTCAAGTTAATACTGTATTCATTTTGCACTGGAGGAAGTATTGGATTAGAGATCATTTGGTTGACAATTTAGTTTACCTGTTTTACTAAGGCAGCATTCTTTAATTTCTTCAGATACCGTCTTCCTCTGAAGTAGTCAGACTGAAGTAGTCTGCTTCAGGCTTGACTTCCGATAGGTGTCCAGGAAAAATCATTTCCACTTTACAACTCTGGTTAACGTATTAAATAACACTGGGTGACTTTATAAGAGGATCGATGGATCTAGATTTACATTTGATTGCCTATTTTCGGGCTGAATTCCTGAGAGTGGGGTGCTGCTAATAGACCTGTTTTGGCAAACATGTTTCTAGAACACACTTTTTAAACCCAGTTTCTTGTTGTTGCTATTTTTTTGTTTTATTTTTAATTTGCTAGAGGACACATGTGCTCACTAGAGAGAGAAGGAAAGTGAGAAAGTACCTCTAATGGAGGATAGCAGGCCACAGTTCGTTCTCCTCAATCCTCCTTTTAGGATTTTAGGCACACACATACCCGTGCCTGCTGTGTTTTTCAAGCTGCAGGGTCTGGGACTTGAACCACAGTTGGCCATGTGGGTAACCAGTTGCCTTAACTACCTCACAACCAGCTGACCCCTTAACTTAGATTTGAAAGTTTTATTTAGGGAATCTATAAAGTCCCTGAATTATGTATGGTATTTTTATGATTATTCATTTTTATGGAAAAGTCTCCTCTTAAAGGGATCAAAATAGGAGCCGGCAAGTGGCGTGGTGGTTAGGGGACCTGGACACCCCCATGGCCAACCATGGTTTGAGTCCCAGTCCTGATGACTTGCTTTCTCACTTTTTCTCTCTCTCTCCGAACAAATTTAAATAAATAAATAAATAAAGTTAAATAAAGAATTCCTAAAAAGGAAAGCAGGTGCTCAAAGTTGAAGAACTGTTCGACAGCAAACATTTAAGTAAGAACACAGTGACGAGTTTGCTGGCCTAGAGTGTACACATACGTCATTTTGGTGGTTATTCTTATACTTCATGACTGTTACCCGTATTTGATAACAGCCTTAAAGATTTACTGGTAATTATTTTTGAGAGACTAAATCCAGCTTTTTATTTATATTTCATGTTTTCTTTGTATTGTATGAAAAATTTTTGAGTTTAAAAAATGTTTAGTTTTAGAATGACCCTTTGCTGAGAATCCTACTAAGATCTGTGTTTGTTTTATGTTACAGGGGTTAGAGTACTGTGAAGAAAGATATACGCTGGACCTGACAGGTGGCATGTTTCCTTTGAGGGGAGAGGCTAGCAATACCAAATTGTTGGGATGCCAGAGTATAGAGAAATTTCGATCTCATGGCGACAGGGAGGAAAGCATGAGTGAAGGTTGGTTAAAAATACTCTTCATTGCACCATGGGAAAGCTGGATTTAAGATTTGTGACGGTCATTGGTTTCTACAATTCATATTCATGGTAGTTAAAAAAATCATTCTAGGGTCCAGCAGATGGACTCCTTTGTAGCCCACCACGGTTTAAGTCCCAGACCCAGTGGTTTAAAACTCATGCCTGGTGCATGTGCATGCATTCCAAGAATCCTGAGAGGAGAATGGAGGAGAAGGGGTTACAGTGTGGCCATCCCCCTTTTGAGGTTGATTTCTTGCTCTCTGTCTCTCTGTCTCTCTCTCTCTGGCAGGCACACACACCCTATAATAAAAATCTCTCCATATAAACGTTTTTTTAATTCTAATTTTTAAGGTATGTGTAGGTTATTAGATACTTGTTCAGATTGCTATAATAGAACTCAAGATTTGAATACATTAGGGTAGTGAAGGGCTGATTTATTTTAATCTACTTCTCAAAAAGACAAAGGTGGTTTCTACTCTAAACACATTTCTAAGTAGTTTCCAGCTTCTGTATTTTAGCCTTTTTTCCTATCTCCTTTAGTGTCATTCCTTCTTGCTGATAAAACATCCTGACATAGTAAAAGTTGCATAGACTTTTTTCTTTTTTAAAGTAATATTTTATTTAACTTGATTTTATTTATTTATTTATTTATTAATGAATGAATGAGGTTTTTTGCTATAGGGCGTATTTGCTCACCAGAAAAACAGAGAGAGAGAGAAAGCCAGAAGTCACCCCCCAGGGGGGATGGCTACGCTGCAATCCCTTCTCCTCCATTCTCCTCCCAGGATCTTGGACCCTCACTCACACGCACCTGGCATGAGCTTAAACCACCAGGTCCAGGACTCGAACCACAGCCAACTACAATGGAGTTCAGCGACATAGCCATTACACCAACTACTGGTCCCATTTAGCTATTTATTTTCATTTGACCATAGAGGGACAGAGAGAGAAAGGTAAAGTGAGAAAGCAAGCCACCAGATCTGAGACGCCCCCATGGTGAGAGCCGTGTGGAAGTCCAGTGCCCTTAGCCCCCTCTCCACCTGCCGGCCTCAAAGTTGCGTAGTTTTTTTTTTTTTTTTTTATGTCTTTTTTTTTTTTTTTTTTAAGGATTATTTATTTAATTCCATCCGTTGTTATTTATTGTTTTATTTTTTTAATTTGACCAGACAGAGACAGAGAGAGAAAGGGAAAGCAAGAAAGCAAGCCACCTCTTCTGGGACTTGAACCACAGTCGGCCACGTGGGAATCCAGCACCTTTAACCACCACACCAACTGCTGGCCCCCAAGTTGCATAGATTTTTGAATCCAGCGTAGATTCAAATTCTAGCCATGACACTAGTGTGATCTTTCACAGACTATTTAACACTTCTGGCCTTTTTCCCTAGCTTTAAGTAGGATAATATAGTTATACCTTTTGCAAAGGGTGGTTGTGAGGTTTGAATGAGATAACATGAAAGGCTCATTCAGTTCTGTGTTTATATTCTTATTGGGGTTTATTCTTGGTGAACTAATCCATCCTACACATGCCCTCTGTCCTAGTTCCACATCTGTATTTATGACCTAGTTTTCACACCCAGTTAAACATGTGAAAACAGAACTTGACATGCTTTCTCCCTTGTATTCCTCATTCATATCTTCCTTTTCCTATTTTCCCTTGGTAGTGTCTCATATTTTTACTTTCTTCTGTTTTTCCATTCCACAGTGTCCATCCAAATACTTGTATTTGTTTCTCTTCACGTATAGCTAGGTTAGAGCTTCTCAACCAGAGTTCCAGTAAAGGAATAAGTCTTAATGCCCAAAGGCATCCGTGTTAGATAGTGAATTAAATTCTCTAGTACTAGCTCTGTATGATCTTAGCAGAGTATTCATTCATACCATTTTTTGTTTTCTACTTCTAGTACCTCAAAGTTGAAGTGTTAACTGAAAACAAGCCAGAATAAAACTTTTCTGAGTGTACTTTCTTTTTTTTTCCCAACAATTATTTTATTTAACATTATTCATTTATTTATTTTTAATTTGATCAGAGAGGGATAGCGTGAGAGAGAGAGAGAGAAAGTGAGAAAGCAAACTGCCAGGTCTAGGACTCGAACTGTGGTTGGCCGTGTGGGAATCCATTGTTCTTAACCACTCCGCCACTTGCCGGCCTAATGGAGTACTTTTTAATAAGGTCTTAAAATAGAGAAGCAGTCAAGATACAAGTTAATTTGAATGTTTGTACACAAATGATAGAAAAATGTTTTGACAAATTAATGAAATGTGAATTAAACTTGTTTATGAGAAAATCTTGCTATAATTTTATTTAGTTGATTTTCTTCTTTGAAATTCTTTATTCTATTTTTTTGAATTATGTCTTTCAGCCCTGTCTCCTGATACTAGTGTTTCAGTTTTTACATGGCAGGTGAATATATATGGACAGGGAAAGCCTTCCATATATTTGGGGCTTTTTGACATAAATCGTTGGTATCATGCACAAATGCCGGATTCGTTAAGGTATGAATCTTCTTCCTTTTTTTCTTTTTGGTGCTTGTATATGTAGCTGATTAGTGACTTAGTAATTTGTAAAATATTCTTTCAGATCGGGAGAATACCTACATAATTGCTCTTATTTTGCATTGTGGTCATTGGATTCTGTTGTAAATAGGACTTCTCCACATTACATTTTGGATATCTTAGTACATGAGAGAAGTTTAAGTCGAGGAGTTCCTCCTTCATATCCACCTCCTGAGCAGTTTTTTAACCCAAGTACCTATAATTTTGGTATGTATTTCCATACCGTTACTTTCTGATGAAAGTGTAATAACATGCATTGTGTAGATGTATATATTTATGTCTAGTTTATACTACAGTATTATCTGTTCATATGTCACTATTGTTAGTTAACATGTGGATAACTTAAGAAATTAAATTGCTATATGTATGTGGGAGATTTAGTACTTACATGTTTTATGAATAAATTCACACTTTTTCAAACTTGCTAGAAAAGAACGTATTTTACAAATGATAAAAATTCCTTATAAATTGTAGTGCATTTGTTATAAAGTTTGTTTATTCTTTTTGAATAAAAGTACCTGGAAAAGTTTACTTTAAAATGTATTATATGTAATAATTTGACACCTTGTCTAACAGTCTGTTATTAGGATAATTTTTGTTGTACTAATGTCATTTAAATGTAATATGTAAGTAGATTTAAAAAAATTTTTTTTTTTTTAGATGCCACTTGTTTGTTAAACTCAGGAGTCATTCATATAACTTGTACTGGCTTTCAGAAGGAGGTAGGTAACAACTAGCAATGTTGACTATTTCTTCTTTTTTATTTTTTCCTTTAAATTTCTTTTTTCTATGAGCAAGAGAGCACCTCCAAGAGCTTCTTGATGTCATGATTAAACCCCTGCTTCAGCCAGCCCCAGATCATAGGCATATGCATGCCTAGCATATTCAGGAAGATCTCCAGACAAAATCCTAAAACCTTTTCATATGGGCCAGTCTTGCAGCACCTTGTATTTTACTGCTCCTGCTCTGTCAGCTGTTTGGCCCCAAAACTGTTCTTAAGTGAAGTCAGATCTTAGAATACTCTTTATGGATTTAAGCTTTATTTAGTGTTAATTGTATAAAACTTTGTTGCAACTTAAATGGTTGCTTCTAATAAGTTTATGAGCTTAGCAGGTAATAGCATCAATTATTAATGACAATTTTCCAGGGGAGGCATTGAAATGTTTATAGCAGCTTGAGGAAATGAAGCAATGCAGAAAAGGTACCTAGCATATTCCTGGCACAGAAAAAGACAAACAGTGTTAAAAAAAAAATAACTCTTTTTTAGGGAAACTCAAGTGTGATAGACCTTTTAGTTGGCAATCAGGCAGGTGTGAATGAATGCCATATTTATAGCTCATATCAAATCTCTTCACATTAGATGAAGAGGAGTGAATTTCAGGGTTTGTGTGTATGTGCACTTGCATACATTTATGTATGCGTTGAGTTTTTCAGTATTTGTCACCAAGACAATCAGCTTTAGAGATTAACCTAAAATAGGTTTACCAGTATTATTTTTTTAAAAGAATTATTTAACTTTCTTTCTTTTAATTTGACCAGAGAGGGATAGAGCAAGAGTGAGAGCAGGAGAAAGTGAGGAAGCAAGCCACCAGGTCCGAGACTCGAACTGTGGTCAGCCACATGGGAGTCCAGCATCCTTAACCACCATGCCACTTGCCGGCCCCTTAACAGTATTATTAATAACTGTCAAACATTGGTTTATATCAAGAACTTATCAACTCTTTTTCTTGCACGGAAAGTCTTCCATAATTGCTATTTGTTATCTTTTAATTTTATTCAAAGTTTAAAATATAATAATTAACTTATCACTTCTTAAAGTTAATTATTTGAATTTAGTATTGATGTTTTATTAATTTATCTATTACAGACTTTGACATTTTTAAAGAAATCCGGACCATCACTTAATGAAGTCATTCCTGATGGTTATAATCGATGTCTTGTTGCTGGTCTTCTCTCACCAAGACTTATTGATATTCAGCCTTCCAGTTTAAGTCAAGTGAGATAACTTTTAACTCTATTGTTTCTTTCTGTTGAATATATGTTGCTAACTTTCTGTTATATTAAAACTCTATTAGATAATTTCTGTAAAAGTAAATGAAAAAGTACAGTGTTTACTCTGCATATCAGTAGCTGTGGTCTTGAGTCATACCCCAAGACCCACTAGGCCATAACTTCACATCAGGTTCTCTTAGCTGTGTAGAAGCATGTAGGACAGGAAGTACATCATGGCTGTTTTAGACATGTCCTGAATAGAAGTCCTTATTGCAGTCTAAATGCTGTTTCCCAGCCCCTCAGACAGAATAGCATAATTGTAAGAGAATGCATCCCTGAGTGGAAAACATCTTTGCTCAGGTGAATCTCATGATCTGTAGGAACAAAATATGATCACTGGTTTCACTACTGCCTGGGAACTTGTAAGAAATGCAAGTTTGTGATTCTTATCCTAGAGCTGCTGGGTTAGAAACTCTAGGAGTAGAGTGCAACAGTCTGTTTTAACATGGATCGATTACAGTGTAGATAGGATTCCTATGTAGAACCACTGCTCATGGAAATCAGTTTCTTGTGAAAGCCTAGTAGAAAAGATTTCTGACCTGGCCAGCCAGGATCACAGGCTCACACTTACACTCGGTGTGTACAAGTAGACCGACCTCAAGACATAAACTCAGGGATTTCCCATATGGCTTCAGCATCACACAGTGTTCTGTTACTGGCCCATGAGTTTATTGTGCTGCAGAAACATATGATATCCATGAGTTTTTCCACCAATCACATTTTCTACAAACTTTTTGATCCTCTTGTACATGACAAAGGTGATATTGTATATGCAGTTAAATATATTATTGGCCAACCAGGATTTGATCTTCTAGAGTAAATATAATGCAAAACTGTAACTACTGTAATGTTAAAATTTTTGAGTCATGCATAGTTTTTTCAGAACATACTTTTTTCCATTAATTTTTTGAAGACCCCTTGTACATGAAAAGGATATCATATATACAATTTCATATATATATTGGCCATTCTTTTGCATGCTAATAAAATTCCACTGTTAATCACAAATGTTCTTATGTACTCTGGGATTTTATTTTGTTCCATTGATTTATTTCTATGCCTGTTTTGTTTTGTTTTGAGTTTTTACTATAGTGAGCATGTGCTCACCAGAAAGAGAGGGGGAAGAGGGAAAAAGAGAGAAAGCACCTCTCAGGGAGAATGGGCTTACACACAGTCCCTTTTCTTCCCGTCTCTTCTTGGGATTTTGGGCACAAATGCACACGCACCTGGCGTGATTTTTGGACTGCTAGGTCCAGGAATTGAGCATTGCAGTGGCCATGTGGGGTCCAGAACCTTAACCTCCATGCCAGCAATCTCTGCCCTTTTTTTACTTTTATTTTTTTTTTGGAGAGATTTTCACTGTAGGGCGCGTGCACTCGCCAACCAGACAGAGACAGACAGAGAGACAGAAAGCGAGAAATCACCCCCCAGGGGGGATGGCCACACCACAATCCCTTCTCCATTCTCCTCTCGGGATCTTGGGCACACACACGCACGTGCCTGGCGTGAGTTTTAAGCCACTGGGTCCGGGACGCAAACCGCGGTCGACTATGTGGGAGTCCAGCGACATTGCCATTACACTAACTGCTGGTCCCCCCTTTTTTTAAAAGAAAAAAAAGAATTATTTTGGGACCAGCAGGTGGCTTAATGGTTAAAGTGCTGGATATTCCCACATGGTCAACCACGGTTCAAGTCCTGGACCTGGTGGCTTACTCTTTCTCTCTCTCTCTCTCTCTCTGGTCAATTTAAAAATGAATGAATAAATAATTTTTTTTAAAAAAAGAATTACTTTGTTTGACTTTATCCATTTATTGATTTATTTTTAAAAATTTGACCAGAGAGGGATAGAGTGAGTGAGTCCAGAGAGAAAGAGAGAGGAAAAGTACGAAATTAAGCCACCAGGTCTGGGACTCGAACCACGGTTGGCCATGTGGGAGTCTAGCGTTCTTAACCACCACGCCACCTAATGGCCCCCCTCCATGCTATTTTAATGTGTACTTTTTTAGGCATTTAGTAATGTCCTTTTTCTATATTTTTTAAGCAATTCAGAGTCATTCCTTTTTTATTGTGAGATGATTTTATCTAATAATCAGTTGAAATTCTTTCTAGAATTTTATATTTACATATTAATTTTAGGGAGGATTTTTATTTATTTACTTTCGTTGCTAGCAGGCACATATTCTTGCCAGAGGTGGGTGGGGCAAGAAAGCACCTTCCATGGAGAGAAGTCATAATACATTCCCTTTTTCATCTCCGTCCTTTCAAGATTTTAGAGACACATGCACACGCCCCTGGTATATTTCTCAAACTGCCAGGTCTGGGATTCAAATGGTCTGGCTGGCCAGGTGAGATCCTACCATGGAGTCAGCCCATTGGGTAGAATTTTTATAATCTCAGATTTTTGTATCTAAGTCGGCATAGTGTGTTTCCATTTATTCAGAGTTCGTTTTACTTTTATTAGTAAGATTTTAAAATTCTTTTCCCTTTTTTCAAGCTGCCAGAGAGGACATGTGTAATTGCCAGAGACAAGAGAGAAAGCACCCTCCTGCCCAGTGGACATGGCCATTCTCCATTTCTCTATACCACCAGGATTTGGGGGATGCATATGCACACACGCCCAGCATGTTTTTTAAGCTGCTAGGTTTATGGTGCAGTTGGTTATATGGGATCTAGATTTATGGTGCATTTGGTTTTGTGGGATCCAGCTCCCTAACTGCCAAGTCCATGGCACTGTCCCTAAAGTTATTTTCTTACGGGGGCTGGCTGGTGGCACAGTGGTTAAGGTGCTGCAGTTTTTTGTGTATCATGGATAATGCTGTTCTGAACCTTCATGCGAAGTTTTTGTGCAGATATGTATTTTCACTTCTTGTGGGTGTGTACATAGGTGTGAAATTGTTGGGCCATAAGATATTTTGGTTTAATTTGTTGAGGAACTGCAAAATAGTCACTTACCTTTTTACATTCGTATCCGTAGTGCCTGAAGATTTTAGTTTTTCTGTAGCCTTACCAATGTTTGTTGTTATTTATCTTTTTCATTATATCCATTGTTGTAGATCATGGTTATTAGCCTTGAAAATTTTGTACTGTGAACTAAAATGTGCTACCTATGATCTCATATCCTGTTTCTATTATTTTGGCTTTTTTTTTGGGCATGTTTTAGGAAGAGCAGTTAGAAGCTATATTGTCAGCAGCAATTCAGACAAGTTCCCTAGGGCTTTTGACTGGTTGTATCAAAAGGTGGATAACAGAAGGTAAGAGTCTGATTTTTTAATAAGTTTCTTTATGTTTATTAAATATCAGTTCACTGTTCTTTTGTAGTTTTAATTTTGAGATGATTGTAGATTCATATACAGCTATGCCACACACTCAGAGATCATGTATACCCTTCACCACGTCTCCCCACCCAGTGGTGGTCTTTGTCTGGCAGATCTCCAGTATATCACAGCAGAGTGCCTGGTGTTGCCCTTTTATTGCCAGACCTATCTTCTCCCTGCCCTGTCCTAACTCCTGACGGTCACTAGTCTTTTCTGTTTCTATAATTTTGTTATTATAAGGATACCGTAAATGGAATCATGCAGCATAGAACTTTTTGGGATTTATTTTTTTCATACAGCAAAATTCTCTGGGGACTCATCCAGGTTGTTGTGTGTGTCACTCATTGTGGACATACCCAACACCACACAGACTGGTTTTTGTTCTAAACCATTTAAGAATGCAATTTTTCCTGAACTATGCGAGAATATACCTCCTTACTTTCAGGTATTTCACTATTCTTTCCTTCTTAGAATAAGAACATTTGCTTAACCATTTGTGATTATTAAAAATGGAGAAAATTAAGACCAATACTTGATATTATCAAACCCAGAGACTTTTTATTTTTTATTTTTTTAAATTCCCTGGTCCTACCACCCCCATTGAAATCTCACCAGTTATCTCAGTAATGTGTTTTATTGTCAAATTTTGGAGGGGGTGGAGTATTTAGTTTTCATGCTTTTTCTTTCTTTCTTTCTTTCTTTTTTTTTTTAAATTATTCTGTGAGAGGGAGGGAGGGATGGAAGGAACGACCCACAACAGAGTCCTCCAACAGGGTCTTCACGCCTCATGTGGCTCACTCCCAGCCTCAACTAGATAGGAATATGGGCATTTTCAGTATGTATAGCAAGGCTTTCCAATACAAACCCAGGTACTTAGCATGTGTGTTCATTTTCACAGAGCACTGCCTTGTGGTATGTCACCGGTCAGCCCCAGTTTTCATGACTTTTTAATTTCCTTTTCTCTTACACAGTTTTTAAACTTTCATCTTTGAAGATACTGACATTTTTAAAAAGTATATAGGCCTGTACTTTTGTAGATAACCTTTCAGTTTGTCTCCATTGATATTTCCTCATGGTTAGATTTAGGTTTTACATTTTTGAGGGCAGCACTTGCTGAAATTATGTGCTCTCTGATGTGATGCACTGAGAAGGATATGCCGTAACAGTTTGTCGCCGGTAATGTGAATGTTCACTCTGTTCACTTGGTTAGGGTAGGGTACTGTCTACCTGGTTTCTCTGCTGAAGAGTTACTAGTTTTCTGCTTGTAATTAATAACAAGTCTTTCTTTTTCCTTTTCGTACTGACAAATCAGAGCAACCAAATTCTGCTGCTAATTTGCGTTTTGTTCTTGAGTGGACATGGAATAAAGTCGTTCTCACGAAAGAGGAATTTGATAGACTATGTAAGTATTATACATCTTTAGATTGAGAGCAGAATTTAAAACTAGACTTCATTTGTTTTAAGTACTTAATACTTTTTCATCATTTAGAGTCATTTTAAAGAAGTCCTAGAAGAAAATTATTTCTTTTTACATTAAAATGACAATTTTTGACCAAGATTTTTCAGTAGGTTTTAAGTTGGCAATATGCTGATTTGCTTACAATAGCTGGTTTCAGAATGATATCTCATCTTTTGGCCTTAGGAGGTTTGTTTATAAAATACACTGAATATGCTGATGATGGTAAGGGCAATGTGCCCCTTAAATTCATAAGCACCTGTATTTAGTCACTTCCTTTTTAAAGTATTTAATCACATCTAAGTAATGCAAAAATAATGTTAAAAGTATTAGTTTGATATATGATTGCACTGTAAATGAAAGTAAAATTTAAGTTTACTTAGATGGATGTGTTTTGGTCATTTCTGTTGTGTCATTATGTATAAACAAAAGGACTTTTGAAAACATTTAGCTACACACAGCTTTTCACAACCTAATTTTTCATTTGTTTTCAATAGTTCACTATGGGGCACATGCACTTGCTGGATAGAGACAGAAGTGAGAAATCACATTTCTCCTCCTAGGATTTTAGGCACAGAAACATTGCACCTGGTGTGATTTTCAAGCCATAGTTTCCAGGACTCGAATGGGAGTTCTACCTGCTGGCCCTAATATTACTCTTAGTAGAGGATTTAAAAAAAAATTTTTTTAAGCATTAAAGAATAATTAAGCTACAGTTTTAAATGTATTGGAAATAAAGCAGATTAGAGTTTGCTTGGAAGGATTTTAGAATTAAGATGATTTCTAGACCAGTAATACAATATTAATAAGTTGGTCATTAAAGTAAATCCCTGTCTTCCTGATGTACTGCTTATAAAGATTAACTCTAGATCTCAATTGTGTTCAAAATCTCACTCTGACTCTTCTCACTCTCATAAAATGTATAATAATTTTTTCAAATAATAGAAATTTGAAAATTTGCAATTCTTAATCATTCAGGTTTAGTCTGTGGAAACTAATCTTATTTTATCCTTGAAAGGTATACCTTTATTTGATGGCTCATGTCGTTTCATCGATCCACAAATTATACAATCTCTTCAGCAGTGCCATTTGCTTCTAAGCAACCTGAATACAGTCTTAAGCTGTTTTGCAACAGAGGCCCAGGAGATCACTGAGAGAGGTATGCTTTTTGTTTCCCACAGATGAGTGTTTGATTAAATTTTATCTCTCAGTTTAGAGAAAAAAGTTCCTATGCCTTTGATGGAAGATTGTAAAGAGGAATTAGCTCTCAAATGCTACTATTTTTTTCTTTAAATAAAAAGTTACAGAATGAAAGATGTGCTGTGAGCTAGGCTTAAATAAACTTGGGAAATTATGGAGATACTAATGATTCTTTAGGTGGTGTGCTTCCAGTAGAATTTAAAATTTTTAAGTTAGTTGTATGTTTTTATTCAAAGAAGTCATTGTAATTTTTTTGTTTTGCTTTTATTTCCAATTGTCAAAGGATGCATGCACTCAGCAGACAGAGGTAGAAAGTACCCCCTCCACACAGCGGGTTGTGGTAGTGCCAAAATCTTTGTCACCCATCTCTCCTTCCCATCGGGCTTTTGAACACACATATATTGTAACATACCTAGCATGTTTTTCAAGTTGCAAGGGTCAGAATTCAACCTGCAGTCAGCCATGTGGGACCTAGCTCCTTTAATCAGCAGACTGTGAGGCTCTCTGGCCACTTAAACAACAAAATCCAGTTTTATTTAAAGGCCTGGTTCGAATAAGTTATATTAATCGTATTGTACTAATTTGGATTAATGTATGACACAAGAAATTAGCTAAATGGAAGTATAGCTAAGATGGAAGCATATTTAACTAAAATGTCTATATATATTTTTTTTTTAAATCGCCAATTCGTTCAGTTTTAAAAACCATTGAGCATCCTGCCTTATTGTATGTGATTAATTCAAGTTAAACAACTGATTTAAACTCTTCTTTACAGGAATGATGGACTTAAGCAATAAGTGTATGGTTACCCACCTCATCTGTCAATATGCACAAGTGGTTCTTTGGTTCTCTCATTCTGGCCTTTTACCAGAAGCCTTAGGTAAAATATCATTCTATAAATATTAATTAAGATATCCTCAAATCTTTAATTTTATTGTTGGGGTTTTTTTTTTTTTTTTTTTGGAGAGATTTTCACTGTAGGGCGCGTGCGCTCGCCAGACAGAGAGAGACATAGAGACAGAAAGCGAGAAATCACCCCCCAGGGGGGACGGTCACGCCGCAATCCCTTCTCCTCCATTCTCCTCTCGGGATCTTGGGCACGCACGCACACGCGCCCGGCGTGAGTTTTAAGCCACCGGGTCCGGGACACGAACAGCGGTCGACTACGTGGGAGTCCAGCGACATAGCCATTACGCTAACTGCTGGTTCCCTATTGTTGGGTTTTAATGCTTTAGGTTTTCTTTGTTCTACCTCACATTATTTTTTGTTCATAACTTAAAAAAAAAAAATGTTCTTGCCATAGGTAGTACGTGTGCCCACCAAAGGGAGACGGTGAAAGGGAAGGTGAGAAATCACTTCCCAGGGAAGATTGGCCATGCCACTATCCCTCCTCCATTCTCCTCTCTGAATTTTGGGCCTGTGCATTTATGCGCCCGGTGTGTTTTTCAAGCCACATGTCTGGGACTTAATCATAATCGGCCATGTAGGAGTCTAGCATCCTAACTGCTGTACCACTTGCTGGCCTCTTCATAACTTACGTTCTTCCTTTATCCCCATCGCCTCACCTCATGCCTGCTACACTAGTGTTTGATACATATTTACTAGGTTTAATAGCATTTAGCAGGAAAGCAAATTTGAGAAAACATGGCTCCAGGAAATGGGTTCAACAATATCATGAGCTGTGATTTAGATCCACGAAGTTATAATTTAGATCCTGAGTTAGGGTTTTTAAAGTTCATTTTATTCATGATAAAATATGTGCACACGTACAATGAGAGAGAGACTAAGGGAAAGAAGCACCCTTGACAGAGACTTATGCTGTGATCCACTTTCCTCAGTCCTCCAGCTCCTCAGGATCTTGACCATATACACCGATTATGTTTTTTTGTTTGGCTTTTATTTATTTTTATTTATTTTTTTATTTTATTCATCATTATTAGTATTATTATATTAATTTGCTACAAGGCATGTGTGCTTACCCAACAAAGAGAGAAAGAAAGAAGGTAAGAAAGCAAGCTTCCAGGTCTAGGACTCCATCCACAGTCAGCCATGTGGGAGTCCAGTGCCTTAACCACCATGCCACCTGCTGGACCCTTGCTTTTATTTCTTTACTTAGGATAAAGTGTAGGCATGCACATGTGAGAATGTGAGAGAGAGGCAAGCACTTCCACAGGTCTGGTCACAATAAGATCCTCTTCCTCTAGTCCTCCAGCCTATTGGATCCTGGGCACTGTCACACATGGCTATAATGGTTCATACTGACCAGGCCAAGGATTTGAAACATATTTGCCATAAGAGATCTGGCTTCTCTTGAGAATATATTATGGCTGTGATATGCAGCCTGGGTTGGGACCCCTGTCTAATACAGAATTCATTTGTTTCATATTTATTTTTATTGATTGATTGATTGCCTAAAGTTAATTTTATATGGTATTTTTATATTGCAACATTTTGATTGTGGCATGTCACATGAGGTCATGTGTGGAATTTTCCACTGATGGTGTCTTATTGACAAGTTTTTTATTTTGAAGCATTTCAGATTTTCAGATTAGGGATATATTCTGCCTATATTAGTTAAATTTAGCAAGCCTGTGGATTAAGTCATAAAATTTTACTAAAATATCAAAATATATAACCTTAAGTCTTGTTGAGCTATTTTGGAAATATTACGAGCTTTTTTTCTAACTCTTAATAAAATACCTAGATGATGCTGTGCAGTTGTCAAGGTTATGCTACAACTACCCTGTAATTCAGAACTACTATACCAATCGTCGACAGAAGTGTGAGCGTTTATCAAGGTATAGTACTTGATTTATACCAAATCTTTTTTTTTTTTTGGGGGGGGGAGGTTTTTTTGCTATAGGGCGCATGCGCTCGCCAGACAGACAGAGAAAGACAGAGAGACAGAAAGCGAGAAATCACCCCCCAGGGGGGATGGCCACGCCACAATCTCTTTTCCTCCACTCTCCTCTCAGGATCTTCGGCACGCACGCACACGTGTCCGGCGTGAGTTTTAAGCCACCGGGTGCGGGACGCGAACCACGGCCGACTACGTGGGAGTCCAGCGACATAGCCATTACACTAACTGCTGGTTCTCATTGATTTATACTAAATCTTCAAAACATATTTTAGAAATAGTTTCTATCATATGTCAAACTTGGGAACAGCAGTTGGCGTAATGGCTATGTTGCTGAACTCCCATGTAGTCGACCACAGTTCAAGTCCTGGACCTGGTGGCTTAAACTCATACTGGGCGCGTGTGCATGCATGCCCAAAATCCCAAGAAAAGAATGGAGGAGAAGGGATTGCGACATGGCCATCCCCCCTTTGGAATGATTTCTCACTTTATGTCTCTCTGTCTTTCTGATGAGTGCATGTTCCCTATAGCAAAAACCTTTTAAAAAAAAAAGATGTCAGACTTTCAGATAGTCTAGTATATTGTGTTACCCAATAGTTCAGTGGGGTGAAATTGTTACATACCACAGTTGTTACTGACATTCCTATTTTAGTCATATTGTTTGCCTTGTCACACTTTTATTTTAGTTTCTTTTTCTTTTTAATTGCCAGCAGACAAATGTACTCACTAGAGTTGGAGAAAGAACCCTCCAGTGGGTGTAGTCACGAACACCTCTATCTTGTCAGGAGTTTGGGCGTGACTGCACATGCTCCTGTCATGTTTTGCAAGCTACAGAGGCCAAGACTTGAATGGTGGTCAGTCATTTGGGCTCTGACTCCCTCCATATAGCACTTAATAACTGCTGTGGGGTCGCCCCTCCCCCACTTTAACAAGTTTTTATAAATTACATCATAATTTTTCATTTACATATACTTGGTGTATGTCTTTATGGGGTATAATCTATGTGTTTTTATTTATTTTGTTTTATTTTTAAGGTCTCTGCCAAAGGGCACATGCAATTGCTGAACAGAGACAGAGAGTGACAGGACATTTTAGAAATCACCCCCCCACAAGGGGGATGGCCACGTTGTAGTCCCTTCTCCTCACTTCTCCCCCTAGGTGTTTGAGCACCCATACACAGATGCCCAGCATTGTTTTCAAGCCACCAGGTGTGGGACTTGACCTGTGCTCAACCATGTGACAATCCAGTATCTTAATCACCATGCCATCTGCTGGGGCCCCCCTTATTTTTAAAAAATAAATGAATATCTTAGTCTGTTCCTTTGAAATAAAGTATCAGAAAAAACAAAGCATAGTGTTTAGAGCCTCTCAAATTTGTCTTCTCTCTGCCATACTCTCTGATAATTTGCTCAAGATGATAAATAGGATATAGTCTGAGTCATTTTGAGAGGCAGGCTCGATCCTGTACTCCCTTGGAACCTGAACTTGCTGGTGGTTGAACTTGTGTGCAGCCTTGGGGTCCATATGACTTCGATATTCTGGAGTTTTCATGCTGATAAATGGGGTTCAGTTCTTTCTTTGATAGTTGTGGTTATTGCTTTTGTGAATTCGATATTTGTTACTTGGTACTTCGGAACATAACATTAAGTCATCTTAATGTTTCCTTTATTATAGAGGGAAGTGGAACCCAGATTGCTTGATGATTGATGGAATGGTTTCTCAGTTAGGAGATCGAGTTGAGAAGCTGTGGAAACGTGATGAAGGAGGCACAGGAAAATATCCTCCTACTAGTCTGCATGTAAGTTTACAGTAACATGCTGTCAGGTAAATCTACCAAGTTAAAAGGGGAGGAGACATGCTTAGCTGTGTGTTCTTGCTTGGGATAGGTTTAGAAAAAAAGGAGCAGAAGTGAGTGAATGAAAGACTATAAAATGCACTAACGTTTTTATCTCTCTTATAGGCATTACTTGACATATACCTATTAGACAACGTTTCTGAAGCAAGCAAACACTCTGTTGTATCCTTTAACGTTTTATCAAATACTCATATATTATCAGGGTAATAAAATTTCAAAGCATTCAGAACATACCTAAGTATAATCTCAAATTCACTTGAATTTTTTTAACCTGGGATATATTGGCTGGGTTCATATGACCTATGATTAATCTAAAACTATGTGTAATCTTTTTTAATGTTTATTTCATGATTGGGAAAGACAGCACCCCCAGCAGGTTCTTCACACTGTAGTCTCAGCTTCAGCCAACCTCTAGTCACAGGAAAGACCATAGTGTACTCAGGGAACTCTCCAGATGCAAACCGAGAACCTTCCCACATAGATCAGCCTTGTAGAACATCACATTTTGCTGCTGCACCACTGTCCAGACCTAACATTTTGTTTTATGATTCTTCTAGGAGTTGTATTAGATTCCTAGATATTTTTTATTTGATTCCTAGATTTTTTGATTTTTTTTTTTTTGGAGAGGTTTTTCTATAGGGCGCGTGCGCTTGCCAGAGACAGAGAGACAGGAAATGAGAAATCACCCCCCGGGGGGGATGGCCACACCGCAATCCCTTCTCCTCCATTCTCCTCTCAGGATCTTGGTTGGGTACACACGCCCGGCATGAGTTTAAGCCACCAGGTCCGGGACTTGAACCGCAGTTGACTATATGGAAGTCCAGCGACATACAAATACTCATATATTATCAGGGTAATAAAATTTCAAAGCATTCAGAACATACCTAAGTATAATCTCAAATTCACTTGAATTTTTTTAACCTGGGATATATTGGCTGGGTTCATATGACCTATGATTAATCTAAAACTATGTGTAATCTTTTTTAATGTTTATTTCATGATTGGGAAAGACAGCACCCCCAGCAGGTTCTTCACACTGTAGTCTCAGCTTCAGCCAACCTCTAGTCACAGGAAAGACCATAGTGTACTCAGGGAACTCTCCAGATGCAAACCGAGAACCTTCCCACATAGATCAGCCTTGTAGAACATCACATTTTGCTGCTGCACCACTGTCCAGACCTAACATTTTGTTTTATGATTCTTCTAGGAGTTGTATTAGATTCCTAGATATTTTTTATTTGATTCCTAGATTTTTTGATTTTTTTTTTTTTGGAGAGGTTTTTCTATAGGGCGCGTGCGCTTGCCAGAGACAGAGAGACAGGAAATGAGAAATCACCCCCCGGGGGGGATGGCCACACCGCAATCCCTTCTCCTCCATTCTCCTCTCAGGATCTTGGTTGGGTACACACGCCCGGCATGAGTTTAAGCCACCAGGTCCGGGACTTGAACCGCAGTTGACTATATGGAAGTCCAGCGACATAGCCATTATGCTAACTGCTGGTCCCATGCTAATGTCAGTTTCTTGGCCTAAAAATGTGTGGTTCCATTCATAATTTATAAAATAAATAATTTGTTTAAGCTGACAATTCTTGCTAGATATTTTTGCTGGAATTTTGTCTGTTTCTTTAACTTGTTAAGTTAGTAACCTCATGAAGATCATGTGGTTTTAAGTTCATTTTCTTTGTGAGGATGCTAATAAAATATTACCACCACAAATGAATGAATGAGTGAATGGAGTGAATAAAGTTAGTATGAGATTGGCTGTACCCACATTTAATGAAGCCTATATTCTTTTCACTAGATATCCATGATAGTTTCCTGAACACTTACGTTTTTCATTTTTCGAGCCTTTGTAATGCTACATTCTATTGCTGCCTATTCTAAATACATGTGTAGGAGTTTTCCTTTTTGTTTTCCTTAATCCATTTTAACAAGACCATTTATTTACTACTTGATATTATGTATTCCTTTCCAAACAAAACGGATACTTCCATTGAATCTTTTCCAACTGCCTTTGCCATTTCTTGGGGCCAGGTTAAACTTATTCAAGGATTTTGGCTGATAGATCATAATGACTATGAGGTACGTCTGTTTAAGCTTTCATAAATAGTTTTAACAAATATACATAACTAGATTAAATTTGATATTAAAGATATAACACAGTCAACTTCGAGAGGCAGTTGAAGGACTCATTTTAATCAGTACCTTCACTAAGTACTAAGGCAGCAAGATCAAAGACAGAATTGTCCAGGATTCTAGTTTCCTTACTTCCTAAAAAAGGAAATGAATGAGTAAATAATGAATGAATACTACAGGTAGAGAGTGGATGATTGCTATGTTAGAAATATGTTTGGGTTGTTGGATGGACCGGACCCTACAGGGCAGGATTTGACATTTATGTATGAAATTAGTGATGAAAAGATTTTACATAATAAAGTTACAAGGTTTTAAAGATGAGGCTTTGGTAAAGCTTTTGTTCTTTAAAAGACACAATAGATGATATCACATGACTGATTTTGCAGTTCGAGACCTGGACCTGGCATCTTGAAAGTCACACTGACCAGATGTGCACACATGCCCAAATTCCCAAGAGGAGAAGGGAGGAAAAGGGATTGCTGTGTAGCCTTATCCCCTGGGGGTTACTTTCACACTTTCCCTTTTTGTCTCTTCAGTGTGCGCACATACACATATATATGATAGATTATAGTCGTTTTTATGGTTTATATTAAACTGATTTTATTCTTTTTGTGTGTGTGGTTTTTAGTATTGTTTGCCTTTTTAAAGGTTAACTATTTTGAATGTAAAGGCTTATATTTAGCACTTTTCATGTCATTTTTGCAGAGTGGTTTGGATCTCCTTTTTCACCCAGCTACTGCAAAACCTGTGCCCTGGCAACATTCAAAGATCATCCAAGCCTTTATGAGTCAGGGCGAGCACAGACAAGCCCTCAGGTATATTCAGACAATGAAGCCAACCGTGTCCAGTGGTAGTGATGTGATCCTCCACCTCACCGTTCTGCTTTTTAATAGGTGAGTACATTTTTTGAAAATACAAACTTTATTTAATTTCACAAAGTTTATTTCTATGACAGAGAGAGAGAGAGAGAGAGAGAGAGAAATAACACCTTCAGCAGGGTCTTGATGCCACAGTCCACACCTGGTATACTCAGGAAGCTCTCCAGACTAAACATGGCATCTTTTCATGTGCGTCTGCCTTGCAGAGGGTCCTGTGTTAACTGCTGAAAGTACAAATTCACATGTTAATAAAATGAAATGGCAATATATTTTATATTGGTTGCATTACCTAAAATGCATCTTTACCTTTCTGTGTTAAAAACATGCAGTGCCTTTCATCTAAAATAAGATGAATAGAAATATCTTGTAAAAGGAAGAGCCAAACTGAGATTTATTTGTTGCTAATTGCCATTGTTAGGGTCCTCCATGAATAATTCAGGGTTGAATATGCTTTAAAAAGGAAGATAACAGAGGAAGAAGAAAATCATATTGAGTTGATAAATTGTGTTCTTTGATGGTTTTTGTGTTCAGTGATAGTGTTCTGATACCTGTTAATATTATTTGCTTGGCTGTTACAGTTCTTTGGATTGAATTTTGTCATTATATTTGCCATTGTAAATCTCACAGAAATTTTGAATCATCTGTTTAAATGATTTTAAAAAGTGTTAATGTCTTAGTGTAGTTTAACCAGATTTGAGCAAGTGATAACTGTATTTCTTCTGTTTGCAATATTATAATATTCTCTAATAAGTATATTATAGTTCTGTTTACATTGTGGCAATGCACATATCACTCATAATATTACACATTAGGTATTGTTTTACCTTGGGGTATATTCTCAGAAAGGTATCAAGATTCTCATCAGCATTTGGTATTATCAGTTTGTTTTATTGGATCCATCCTAATAGATATGTAATGATAGCTTGTTATTACTTAAATTTGCATTTCCAGAACAACTAATGATATTGAATCTATTTTTATGTGTTCATTTATTCTCAGTATCTCTACTTTGGTAAAGTATATGTATAAACTTTTTTCTTTTTTTGCTATAGAGCATGTGTGTTAATTGGAGGGTGGGGGGAATCAACCCCCAGCAGAGATGGCCATGCTGTAGTCCCTTCTCTTTCATTCTCTTCAGGATCTTTGGCACACATACATAGAAATGCAGCGTGTTTTTCAAGCTGCCGGGCTGAGGACTCAAACTGTAGTTGGCCATGTGGGAATCCAGTGCCTTAACCATCATGCCACCCACTGGCCCAAATTTTTTTTGTTTTATTTTTTTTCAGAGAGGTTTTTGCTATAGGGCATGTGTGCTCTCTGCTGGAAAGACAGAGACAGAAAGCACGAAATCACACCCCAGGGGGGATGGCCACACCACAGTTCCTTCTCAATTCTCTTCTTGGGATCTTGGGCACGCACGCACAAGTGCCTGGTGTGAGTTTAAGCCGTTGGGTCCAGGACTCGAACTGCAGTCAACTCCATGGGAGTTCAGCAACATAACTATTATGCCATCTGCTGTTCCCTTTGTTTTTAAGATTGGTTTGTTTGTTTTCTTACTGAGTTTTGAAATTTCGTTATGTATTCTCTTGTAGCATTCATTATCAGTTTTAAAATTTTGATAAATGGGCCAGCAGGTGACATGCTGGTCAAATGCTGGACTTCCACATGGTCAACTGTGGTTCAAGTTTCAGACCTGGTGACTTGCTTTTTCAATTTTCTCCCACCTCTGTCTCTTTCTGGTAAAAATAAAATAAAATAAATATAATAGAATAATCATTTATTTATAATAAATATTTATTTTATAATAAATCAGTTATTTAAAGCCTTTATTATTTTTTAAGTTTTTGGGTAAAGGATATGTGAACTCATCAGAGGTGGTGTAGGGAGTGAGAAATCATCCCTTTTCCCTGCCAGGGCATATGGCCATGCTGCAGTCCCTTCTCCATCTTCCTTTTGAAATACTGGCCATGCATGCATGCCTGACATATTTTTCAAGCTGCCAGGTCCAGGGACTCAAATCACACAGTTAGTCATGTGGGATCCAATGCCTTAACCACTGCATCACCTCCTGGCCCTCAAAACACTGTACTTTCTTCATTTTCTTGGCTCCATTCTTGAAAATCAGTTGGCATCTATTATCATACTATTTACATTTATGGACTCCTGATGGGTCTATAGATCATGGCTCTTCTTTCATTAATACCACATTGGCTTTATTGCCAACTATAGCAAGTCTTATAAGCAGATACTGTGAATTCTCTAAATTTATTCTTTCTCAGAATAATTTTGACTACTCTAGATTCTTTGCTTTCCCACATAGAATTTAAAATCAGCTTGCTGACTTCTTCAGAATAAGACCACTGTGAGATTTATTTGTATTACATTACATCTATAAATGATTTTAGGCTGAATCAACGTCTTGACACTATTGACTCTATCCAGCAGCATAGTCTATTTCCATTTATTTAGGGCTTTGATTTTTCTCAATGTTGTTTTGTAATTTTCAGTATACACATATGTGTTTTCTAAGGTTCCCCCCCCCCCGCCTTGATATTTCATATATTTTAGTGTTATTGTAAGCGGTATATATATGTTTATTTTTTGGAGAGGTTTTTGCTTTAGGGCATGTATGCTCGCCAGAAAGACAGAAGGCAAGAAATCACCTCCCAGGGGGATGGGCCTGCACCCATACGTGCCTGGCATGAGTTTAAGCCACCAGGTCCAGGACTCGAACCACAGTCAACTACATGGGAGTCCAGTGACATAGCCATTACGCCATCTGCTGGTCCCTGTAAGTGATATTTTAAAATAGCCAATCTCTAATAAAAATCTTATTTATTTCCAGCTTATTACTAGTACATAAACATGGAGTTGATTTATGTATGTTGACATTTGTTTTCTATAACTATGCTGTACTTATTTATTAGCTCTATTAGATTATTTTACATACTTTTAATGCATATTTTTTTTCTTACAAAGTCAGTCATATAATCTATGAGTATAGTAGACCGGTATATTTTTTCCTTTCCACTCTGTAACCTTTTCTGTATTTGTCTTGCTTTATTTACTGATTCAGACCTGCATATATTGAATGCAGGAATGAGAATGGACATTTGTGTTCTTTTATTTTGTTAATTTGCTGAAGGATACATGTGTTTGTCCGAGATAGAGAGGGAAAATGAGAAAGGACTTCCTGTGGGGGATTATCATGCCACATCCCTTCTCCATTTCTCTTCTTGATATTTGGGACATGCATATACATGTACCCCACATGTCTTATAAATCACCAGAGCCAGAGCTCAAATCTCACAGACATCCGTGCGACGTCCAGCTGCCTTAACCACCATGCCACTTGCCAGTGCATCATTATTCTTGATCATAAGAAGAAAGTATTATGTTTTTTACCTCAAAGTTTGATGGTAGTTGCTCTTTATCAAGTTGATGAAGTTCCCCTACATTCCTAGTTTGCCAGAGATTTTTATCATGAATAAATGTTGAATTTATCAACAACAAGAAATATATTGTTAGGCAATTTGGTTGTTGTGTGAAGATCGTGGATTGTACTCATTCAAACTTAGCTGATATGGCCTAGTATATACCTAGGCTATATAAATAGATATTTATGTAAGGCTTTATAAATACCTAGGCTATTTACCCTAAGCTACAAACCTGTACTCCATGTTACTGAATACGATAAGCAGTGGTAACACAATGCTAAATATTTGTGTGTAAACACATCTGAACACAGAGAAAGTACAGTAAAATATGCTGTAAGAGATCAAATGTGCTACACCTGTGTGGAACACTTACTCTGAATGAAGTTTGCAGGGCTGGGAGTTGTCCTAAGTGAATGAGTGGTAAGTGACTGTAAAAGCCTACGACATTACTGTACATTATTGTAAACTTTCCAGACAGTGTACATAGGCTTTACCCCTAGCTTCTTGTAGTTTTACTTTATAAACATTTTAATTTCTAAACTTATTTCCTCTTTGGCAAAACAATTTAAAATGCCCATTGTACAGCTATACAAAAGGTTTTTTTTCCTACCCTTATTCTGTAAGTTTTCCTATTTTTAAAAATCTTTGTTTTTATTTTATTAAAGCAAGGTTTTTGCCTTGTAATCTTCCTTCCTTGACCTCCAAAATTGATAGGATTACAGGAATGTGCTATCATGCCCAGCTCTTTTAACATTTTTTCCTTAGACCTAATTTGTAGGAGTTTCCATGAGCAAGGGTATTCCAGAAACAAAAAACGTCTTTGGCCTGGGATGCAAAAAGTACCCCTAGAAAGGGAAGAAGAGCATCTTAGACGATTGACAATCCCAGTGAACACTAACATCTGACCAGTTCTGGTGTATACTCATTTACTAGGTGCCAAAATTAGCAACTGTGGTTATTACCTGCTGACCACTGAGCATTGGGCTTTCTGTGAGACTGCAATCTGAAGCTGAGTTCGAAATGGTCAGCGCTTATAGCCCAGTGGGAAATGCAGAGAAGTAATCAGATCATAACCTTTTAAAATTTGGCTAAATCTAAGACACAGTTTATCCCAGGCCTACCCAAGGTCAAGATCAAAGTATCACTGTCCTCCACTTCTATAAATGTGTCTCGCCTGGCTGGAAGAGCCTCTGAACAACAGAACACGAGATTAAATCAAGCACAATAAAAAATGATGGATCTAGAGACATGGCAAGCAATATGTATGAGGCTGCTTGTATACCATGGTATACTATTTTACAATTTATGTTTCTTTATACATTGGAATATACAGTGGTGATAAAAGGTGTAGTATAGTAAATTCAGCAACCATTAACATTGTTTCCTTTCGTTATTAAGCATTGTATACTGTACATTTAAATAATAATAGAGCCGTGTAAAGTTAGATCTTTAAAGATGCCCTGTTTTGATTTTGCAGCAGTTAATAGTCAATAAATTTTAAAGTACTTTTATATGGATAATGTCTTTGATATTCTATTTTGTGTTTTGAACATTTGAAGTCATTTTTCTAAAACTGAACTTTGATAAACGCTGCTTTCAGGTGCATGGTTGAAGCCTGGAGTTTGTTGCGACAGCACTCTAACAGGTTGAATATAGAGGAATTGCTAAAGCATACGTATGAAGTCTGTCAAGAAATGGGCTTAATGGAGGATTTACTGAAGTTACCATTTACGGAGACTGAGCAGGTAATTTATTATCAGTACAGACTTCTCACAAATTCAGGATATATTGATAGTTTACAAAATCTGTTTCATTCTTTCCTAGGAATGTTTAGTGAAATTTTTGCAGTCCAGCACCAGCATTCAGAATCAGGAGTTCCTTTTAGTTCACCATTTGCAACGTGCCAATTATATTCCTGCCTTGAAGTTGAACCAAACTCTGAAGATTAATCTTATGGTATGATATAAAAGTTCTTTTGTAGGAGACAAGAGAATAAGGAAAACTGGAGTTAACTTATGTGAGAGCTTGTAGTCTGGCAACCACTATTCCTTTTATTTTCTTAAACTTGGAGATCCTCTTTTCATCTCTGTAACAGAATTGGGAACAGTTTTTTTTCTAATTTATTCCTTTTTTGGGGGGCGGGAAGACCAGGGAGAGATGATGGGGGGGGGGTGAGTAGTGAGAAAACAAGCCACCAGCTCAAGGATTTGAACCACGATTGGCCATGGGGAGTGTCCAGCGCCTTAACCACCATGCCACCTGCTGGTCCTGGGAACAATTCTTATTTTAAGAAAAAAGAATACTCAATTTTTTTATGTATGCCATTATGATCTGTTTTTTTGTCCATAATCTTGCCAGACCATTAACTTCACTCAGGAAAGACAGAGTTTATGGACAGTGTTAGAAGCTGTATAATGTAAAGACCTTTGTTTGGACCTTAAAGGTCATATTCTTAATTTGTTCTGTGTGCTTAAGACATACTTGGAGCCTTGGTCTTCTCATCTGTGAAATTATATCTCCTTGTGAGGTTGTTATGAGTATGCGTGGAGGTGTGTATAAACCACATGTTACCTGATACATGTAGGTGCTAACTGCTCGTCCCAGATAGTCATTGTTTATTTGTGAAAAATCAAGGCTTGGTAGCAGAGATTGAGAATTTATTGATAGGTAAAGATTGATAAAGCAATTAGAGTTGAGTATGAAGTACTTGGTATATAGGTAGGAATAAGATATTCTCCAGATATTCATAATTGTATTTTAAGTAGTAAGCATATAACCATAGCACCTAACATTTTGGAGATTAAGTTTTTACCAATTATATGTTCAATAGAATGATCGTGATCCTCATTTGCGGGAGAGATCAGTGGCTCGAAATTCTATATTGGACCAGTATGGAAAAATCCTTCCCAGAGTCCAGCGAAAGTTAGCTATTGAGCGAACTAAGCCCTACCATCTGTCAACATCATCAATTTTTCGAGAAGGTAAAATTTAAATTGAACAGTGTCAGGAACAATTGGCTTAGAAAAGATATAAGAGTGGATTGCCTTTCAGAAATAATTACCTTAAATTCAGCTCATTTTTGCTAATGCGTGCTCATACTCATAATAGTTGTGCTTTTTTACAGATTACCTTTTTTTTTTTTTTTTGGAGAGGTTTTTGCTATAGGGCGCGTGCGCTCGCCAGACAGAGAGAGACAGAAAGCGAGAAATCACCCCCCAGGGCAATCCCTTCTCCTCCATTCTCCTCTCGGGATCTTGGACACGCGCCTTGTGTGAGTTAAGCCACCGAGTCTGGGACTCGAACCGCGGTCGACTATGTGGGAGTCCAGCAACATAGCCATTACGCTAACTGCTGGTCCCACAGGTTACTTTTATACCATGAATAAGGTTTTCTTGGAAGTTTTTTTTTTTTTTTACAGTTTATTCACTACTGTACAGAAAGAATGAACTCTGGGTTATTTCTAGGTTCTTGGTAACATTTAGAAAATGGGGAATAATTTTTTGCTGTATCCTAAAAATCCACATTGCTATATTCCTACATAGTACAGTTAAGCCAAATATAATTTTAACTATTCTTATTGTGTGATTTGTGTTTTCCAGTAATTTTTTTATGTTAATTGTTTCTAGTTAACATTCTAGGTTGTTTCAGATTGAATTAAATCCTACTTTCTTCATTTTACAGTTTCTAGACCCAAACCATTATCAGCAGTTCCAAAGCAAGCTGTAACAGGGACTATATTAACGAGATCCGTTTTCATTAATAATGTGTTATCTAAAATTGGAGAGGTATGGGCAAGCAAAGAACCTAAACATACAGTATCACCTTACAAAAGGTAATGTTTTACTTTCATCTTTCATAGGCATGCTACTTGCTAATCTATCCTAGACATAGGCGGCATTCATCAACATTTCATCCTCACTGCCTTACAGTTTATTAGTAAATGTAAAAAGGGAAATTGCTCTTTTTGTTGTTGTTTTAAGAATTATTTAATTTTATTTATATTTTAAATTTGCTATAGGACTTGTGCACTCATCAGAGAGAGAGAGCAAGCAGTAAGGTCTGGGACCTGAACCACTATGGGTTTTGTGAGAGTCCAGCGCCTTAACCACCACGCCACCTGCTGGCCTCTGAGAAAATGTTTTTATGTTTATTACTTTTCTTATAAGAATAATTTTTTAAGGAATTATTTGTATTATTTGTTATTATTATTATTATTATTACTTTTTAAATTTGACCAGAGAGAGAGAGAAAGGGAAAGAAAAAGCAAGCTGCCAAATCTGGGACTCAAACTGTGGTTGGCCATGTGGGAGTCCAGCACCCCAACCACTATGCCACCTGCCAGCCCCCAAGAAGGATGTTTTCTAATCTTTCATTTTTTTTTTTCTTCTTAGATTGTTGCCATAGGGTGTGTGCACTTGGCAGAGACACAGAAAGTGAGAAATTATCCCCTGGAGGAGATGGCCATGCCACAGTCCCTTCTCCATTCTCCTCTGGGGATTTTGAGCACACATGCACATGTGCCTGGTGTTGAGTTTTAAGTGGCTGGGTCCAGGACTCAATCCACAGTCAACTGCATAGGAATCCAGTGATGTAACCATTATATCTGCTGGTCCCTATTCTTTAAATTTAAAAGTGACATATATTGTGTTATTTGTAAATAATGCAGAAATCTATAAAGTGAAAAGTAAGACCACTTTCCTTTCCGATCTAATTTGATTTTAGAACATTTTTACCAGTTATCTTTATGATAAATAATCAAAAGTTAAACTTCTGTTTTCTTTGTAGTCTTAAAATAGAAGAACCATCTGCTATAGTATATTCACTTCCAGATCCTGAGGTGCCTGAGGCATTTGTTGGAACGCCAATTTCAAAAGCATCACAAAAAATTTCTAGGTAAGAGTTTGTTAAATACTTCTTAAAGACGAGTGCTAAATGATAATTATAATTATAATTTTTAGTTATCTTTAAAATTTTACAGGTACTATTTTAAAATTTTAAATGATTTTTTAGTACTGGCTTTTTATTATAATTTTTGAGCAGTATAATTTTCCATTAGCTGGTAGTATATTTAAGATTTCTGATTAGTAATTTTGGATTGCATACTGAAAAGCAAACTTGTTTTACTAAAACCATTAACATTATAAATTGTTTCTTTAATATTATCTCCTTTTTTTTTTTTTTTTTTAATATTATCTCCTTGTTAAGTGACCTGATTGAAGGTGCTTTTTGTAAATTACTAATTAATCTTAATTGGCTCATGGAAGTTTTCTGCAGTGTAATAGAGCCTACTAAAATATCTTAAGTAACTTTTTTTGTTTTAGCTATGGTATTAGAAAAATAGTTTACTTGAAGTTTTATATCCAATATGAAATTACTATTCCTTCTTTTTTGTTGTTTTTTTGTTTTTGTTTTGTTAGAGAGTTTTGCTATAGGGTGCATATACTCACCAGAAAGACAGAGAGAAACAGAACGGGTGAAATCACCCCACAGGGGGATGGCCATGCCGCATTCCCTGTTCCTCCATTCTCATGGGATTTGGGGCATGCACACACATCCAGCGTGTGAGTGCTAAGCCACCAGGTCCGGGACTCGAACTGTGCTCGATGACGTGGGTGTCCAGCAACTTAAAATACTACACCATTCTCTGGTCCCATTGTGATTACATTTATTGAAGACCACTGGACAGTTGGAAAGTGTTCATAATCATCACTAGCAGAGAACAGAATGTCTCTTGATGTATTCTCTGTTCTTAACAATGTGCTCATGGTTCTTGCAAATTGCTCGTTTTGTCAAAGAAAACAATTGTCATTATTTCATGGAAGTAAAATTACCTGAATTTTGTATAGTAAGCACAAGATACTTAGGATAAGTTAATAAAGTATTAAATACAAAGGTGTTTATAGAGTGTACAAAATGGGAATGTTTTAAACCTTGGAAAGATTTTTCATTTTTTGGTTTTGTTAGGTTGTTTCCCTTTACTTACTTTCACAAAATGGTGAGGTGTTTTAAGTGGAAGTCACTATTAATGACATTCTGTTTTTCTGCCAGTGGTTCTAATTTTTTTTTCACGAATCACTTTTCTTCGTCCCTTTGTGTTTCAAATAGATCTAGGGCTCAGCAGAGGGATAATAAGAAAATGTTTAAGACCCTTGACTAATGGTCTCAGGGCTTAAAGAAGTATGAGAACTCTAAAGTGTATAACTCAGGTGAAAAGAGCTGATTGAGGAGTGGTTATTTACCTTCTATAAAAATAATTTCATTTGTAATTCTGTATTTTTCATATTGGGGTTTGCATTACTGGGTTTTAAGTAGATGTTACAAGTTCTGGGATACTCTCAGTAGGCCCTGCCACTGTGCTGTTTGATGTAATTTAAGTTATGTGTGTGATATAAAATGCATTTCTAATTTGGATCATGGTCAAAGTTGAGGGGACAGCAGGTGGCGTGGTAATTAAGGTGCTGGATTCCCACATGGTTGACAGTGATTCGAGTCCTGTAACTGGTGGGGGGCTTACTTTTTCATTTGTTCACCACCCCACCCCCTTTGCCCCCATCTCTGGTGAGTGCATGTGCCCTATAGCAAAATTAAAAAATAATAAAAATTTTTTTTAAGTTGAAGAATTACTACCCAGTTCAATCTTTAATGGTTCCTTTAGAAAATACACTAATCAAAAATTTTTTTCTTGATACCTTTTTTTAAGAGAGATTTTTGCTATAGAGCACGTGCACTCACCAGAGAGATAGACATAAAGCGAGAAATCACTCCCCCAGGGGTATGGCCATACTGCAGTCCCTTCTCCAGTTATCTCAGGATTTTTGGGCATGCATGTACACATGCCAGGTGTGAGTTTTAAGCTTCTAGGTCTGGAACTTGAACCATAGTCAACTACATAGGAGTTTAGTGATATAACCATTATTCCTTCTGCTGGTCCTGATACCTTTTTTTTTTTAACTTTTATTTTAATTGAACTTTATTCATTTAATTTTTTTGACCAGGGGGGACAGAGTGAGAGAGAGAGACAGAAGGAAAAGAGAGAAAGCAAGCCACCAGGCTCAGGACTCGAACCAGGATTGGCCATGTGGGAGTCCAGCACCCTTAACCACCACACCACGTGTAGACCTCCTGATACTTTTTTTAAAATATGAACTAAATACCTTAGATCTTGTTAATAGAAGAACTTTGCTTTTACTCATTAGATGTCTCATACGTTGTGCAGCCTCCACTTTGAGAGCAGTTATTCATAAATAGGCACCAAAGACATAAATATTAACACAAAGTATTTGCAAGTACAGAATATTAATGCAGTTTCTGAGAGAAGTCAAAATAGAAAATAGAAAAGACTTATCTAGCACCCTGATTAAATATTCTTGGTTTGTTGGAAATCTCAAAGCTGTGCTTAGCACAGAATAACAACCGAGAAGATATTGTACTAAGAACACGTTTTCCTTACTGGGTAGTAGGTAGGTTCTTAAAGTAAATAAGATATTTGAACATGAAGGATAAAATTAAAAGAGTGAGGGGTCGGCAAGTGGCATGGTGGTTGGAGGTGCTGGACTCCCACATAGGTGACCACGGTTCAAGTCTCGGACCTGGTAGCTTGCTTTCTCACTTCCTCTCTCTCTCTCTCTGTGTGTCTCTGATCAAACTGGAAAATAATAATGATAATAATAATAAATAAAGTTAAATAAAATAATTCTTTTTAAAAAAGTGAAAAGAATGAAACAGCAGCCAGGTTTTAATTTCTGGGTACCTAAACATGTTTCGCTTTTCTGGTGATTCTCAACTTATCTATATTTATTGGCGTTTGGGGAACTGAAAGGTACTCTTTTATCACGAAGAAATACAGGCACAAAAATACACCATTAGGAAATTGAGAAAGGAGCGACTTGTGCATATGGGCCACCAAAAGTTGAATACTGAAAATGTTACTTTGAGTTTGAATTATTTATCTGTAAATTAAACTTAAGTATCTTTGGAGTACACAGCAATTAGATCCCTTTTCTTGTTTGATATCATCTGGATCCAGAATGTTATGGAAAACCATTTAGTAAAATCTCGAGATTCTCTGTCACTAAATTAATTAATTTGAAAATAAAGTCTTTTTCTTTTTGTCAGTCTAGTCTTTATTGCAGTCAAACTATCAAGGTAAAATAAATTGGTATTCATTATGTATATTGCATGTAGGTAAAGGGTTTTTTTTAACATATTGATGAAAATGAATTGCTGGGGAAGCTTTGTTTTATTTTCCTTAGTATGCTTAATCATTAGCAGTTCATCTTTATTTCAAAGTTAATGCTGGCTCAGTAAATACCTATAAAAAGGAAGGATGACAACTGTATTTTTTTTTTAATAATTGTTATCTACAATTACTAATTTTCTTTTTTACTATTGAATTGTTTTCTGATTTTTTTGAACTAATGGTAGCAGTTTGAATCACATTAATATAGTTCCTGAATTTAATTTGCATGAGATTATCATACTTACCAATGAATATACAAGTCTGAATAATTAATAAATATTAATACTAATTTTTTTGGTTTCTTCATTATAACTCAGTAAGTTGCCTGAATTTTCCTATTCTTAAATATATTCTGATTACAGACTACTGGATTTGGTTGTTCAACCTGTCCCCCGGCCTTCTCAGTGTTTGGGGTTGATTCAGCAAACACCCACAAGATCTCCTTTGTACCTAGCAAGCAGTTCATTGCCTTTAAGTTTACACTTGCAAGGATCATGCCAGTATACCTCCAGAGCTTCAGAATTACGTTTACTTGAAACCCCTCTAGTGGTAAAGGTTAGTATTATATATAATGTAACAAAACTAGAGTTTAACTTTTCAAGTAGCAAGGAGAAAATAAGCTATTTATAATTATCTCGGAGTAAGCAATAGCTTTAACCATTTTAAACAATTTTTAATGTTTTAAGTGTTTATTTTCAAAATGCTGACTTACTATATCTTAATCAGCTGACTAAATTTATGCTTTTCTTGCTTAAGTTACTAGTCACATTGTTGCCTTGGAAATGAATCAAGGCTCTTGTGGTTATCATAAATTGATCTTTGTCCTTTGTAGAATGCTTTTAAATTCTCAGGCTTGTTTTTATTTTTACATAAACTTTATTGTCGCTGCTATTATTTTGTTATTTCTTTCCTTCTATCACATTCTTTTTAGATATTTCTATTTTTTAAAATTTCTGACTCCTTTGAAACTGAATTGCTACTCTTTTCTATAAAATTAATTTATATATCCTAAAGTTTTTTCCTCTGCCTTCCTGGAGAAGTCATGAACTGAGAAACAGTAAAACTAAAGTTGTGATAACTGACAGCGGTGATCTTTTTTTTTTTTTTTTTTAATATTTATTGACTTTTAATTTTATTTATGATCATTATTCTTCAATTTGGACCAGAGAGAGACAGACAGAAAGGGAGAGTGAGAAAGCAAGTCTCTAGGTCCAGGACTTGAACCATGGTTGGACATGTGGGAGTCCAGCACCTCAGTCACCATGCCACCTGCTGGCCCTGGTGATCTTTTTTTTTTAAACTGCCAGTTTTCAAAGTTTTTACATATTACTCACTCCTAGCACCTTATCCAGTATTGTAGAAAAGCCTTTTTCTTTATTTCTGGCTTCTTTGTTCTGGATATCCAGTATTTATAGTGAAATTAAGGAATTCTCAATTCTTCAAGTGAATAAAATACACCTCGGGGAGCTGGGCAGGCAGCGTGTTGGTTAAGGACACTGGACTCCCAGATGACCAACCACCACGGTTCAAGTCCCAGACCTGGCAGCTTGCTTTCTCACTATCACCGTCACTCTCTCTCTGGTAAAACGGAATACTACTATTACTGAATAAAATTGAGTAATTTTTTTAAAAGACACCTCAATAAATACTGTCCCAATAGTTACTACAGGAAATTGAAAAAAAGGTTGATAAGATTATTATGTTCTTGCACTGACCCTGTGTATAAGGAGCCATACTCCACACAGCCAACTGCAGTTCACATCCTGCCCCTGTGTCCTGAGAAACGCTTCAGTGTATGTACATATTTGCTCAAAATCCTGATGTAACAGAAGAAAAAGGCTTGCAGCATGACCATGCCCCACTTGGGAATGTGGGGGTTTGTTTTTTCCCCTTTCTCTCTGTCTGGCAAACACATGTGCCCTCCCATAATTAAAAAAAAAAAAAAAACTACATTTCTAACATTTACATTTACTACCCAGTACAGTATTTCATTTTTCATCTCTCATTTAAAAAAATCACATTTTACATTCTCTACAGCTATGTTCAAATGAAATTAAATCAGGGATTTTCTGCATGCTGCCAGAATATTCTCATTTGTTGTTAAAGAATTATTTTATTTAGCTTTATCGTTATTTTTTTTTTTAATATTTCCAGAATGAGACACACACACACACAAGGAAAAGTGAGGAAGTAAGCCTCTAGGTCCAGGACTCAAACCATGGTCAGCCATGTGGGAGTCCAGCACCCTTAACCACCACAACACCTGCTGACCCCTGCTACCAGAATATTCTTTTCTTTTCTTCTTTTCTTTATTTTTTTTTTGTTAGCATTAAACAGACTCTCTCCAAGTGGCTTCAAGCCACCAAGACACAAGCACCCCCCATACCCTTAATCGTCTCCGCTGAAGAATTTGGCTTCCAAATGACAGGCTGCTTCGGGAGCTTTCCCTTCCCCAGAACTTTGTAGTATCCTGATCGCACTACATCAATGATGGGAGCTACTCCGTTCTTGTTTTTGGCGGCATTTACCCGTGTCTGCTCACTGACCAAGGTCCACAATTTATCAAGGTTGACAGTTGGGCAGAAGCTCTGGTTCCTCTGTAAGTGGTAATGCCTCATACCAACTTTCCCAAAGTAACCTGGGTGATATTTGTTGAAGTTGATCCTGTGGTGATGCATGCCAACAGCATTACCTCGGCCTCCGGGATGCTTCTGGTGCTTGCCGATGCAGCTGTGGCCGTGGCTCATGTGGCCTCAAAGTTTCCGGGTCTTCCTCAGTCTGGATGGCATGTGGGTGACTAAGACGAAAGAGCAGAATATTCTTAAAAACTGGGTCAATATATTCTTTTTTGGGGGAGAGGTTTATGCTATAGGGTGTGTGCACTCGCCAGAAAGACAGAGAAAGATAGAAAGCGAGAAATCACCTCCAGGGGGATGGCCACGCCGCAGTCCTTTCTTCTCCATTCTCTTCTTGGGATCTTGGACAAGCATGTACACGCGCCCAGCGTGAGTTTAAGCCACTGTGTCTGGGACTCGAACCACGGTCGACTACGTGGGAGTCCAGCGACATAGCCATTACACTAACTGCTGGTCCCAGTATATTATTAAAAAAAGAGGTCAATATAATCTTCATGTTTAACACAATTCAGTAACCCACTGGGACTCAGTAGTCTGTTTATATTGGCCCACCTGATTTAGAGCAAGCAGTAGCACACTAGCAGTGCTGGGACCTGAACACACTGGGTGCGTGCGTAGCGAAGATCCTGGCAAGCTGGAAGGCTGAGAAAGGGGATCATAGTGTGATGAGACTCTGTTGATGGTAGCTGGTTTTCTTTCATGAAATGAAAGTGTTTATTAGGCCTATAGAAGACAAGTTAAATAAAGAAGTTATTTAAATTATTATTATTATTAAATAATTTACATGCTAATTTTCAATTATTTTTATTCAGTATACTAAGTTTTCAAAGGATTCTAGGCAGTTAGTAATTGGATTTATGTGATGAAATTTTATTATTTTTCCTAAAACACTAAGTTCAGCCTCATTATTTATATTAGCTCTATAATCAAATAAACCTAGGTTCTATTCATCAAGGACCATGTCTTTCACCTAGCTAAAATTTTATAAAAATTAAATAATTTATCTTACTAATTATTACTTTCAGTTGAATTGAAATTTTAAATAGCTAAGTCTTTAGAAACATAGGTTCGGTTTTATGCTTTTTGGTGGTTTATTTTTTTAGATGAATTGATTTAATTCCACTCATTATTGCCACTATTATTTTGAACAGACAGAGCAGGAAAGAGAAGGGGAAAGAGAGAAAGGAAGCCACCAGGTCCAGGACTCGAACCACAGTTGGCCGTGTGGGAATCCAGCGCCCTTAACCACTGCACCATCTGCTGGCCTGGTTTTGTTTTGTTTTTGTTTTTGTTTTTGTTTGTTTTGCCTTACAAAAAAAGTTCTAGTAGAATTTTGTAGTTTATTTTCAGTAATATGGAACAAAATTTTCTATTAATGTGTTTATTGGAGATGCGATGAGACCATAAGCACTATTACTTGACCTAGTCTGTCCTTATGTAAGTGCATTCTACAAACACTAACCATGGAATTTCGTTTGCTCTTTATCATAGAAAGCTAAAACTTTAGCTATGTCAGTTAGTTCTGCTGGATTTGCCGAGTTCACGCCTCACTCCATCCTAAGGTCTGGTCTTCGAACAACACCTTTAGCTTCTCCCTCTCTGTCACCTGGGAGGTCTCTTACTCCTCCTCTACGACTTAAAGAAACTAGAATTTCATTCATGGAAGAAGACATGAACACATGGGCTGCTGGAGTAAGTACATTAAGACATAAGAAAATATTAGCTCCTACAAGTAAAATGTTAGATAAATCAGTTTGAATACTACTACTCTTGTAAATAGGTATGAATCAGAAAACTGGAAACAAATCTTTAGGGCATTGGCTAAAACTAAATCTATCATTTTATAGGTAAAGAAAATAGGACTTGCGGTCACCAAGTAGTCGCCTGGATACAGGCGGTGGAAGAAATGGAACTTGGTTTTCCTTATGTTTTACCCCGTATTGTATTGCCCTTTTTACTCAGTCCCAGATTGCCAATTTAGGAGTGTGTGTCTTCACAGCACTACTGTAGGCTAATAGAAATCCACTTAGTGATTATTGGTCATCTGTCCTATTCTTTGTTTGTCTTCTGAAAATACTGAAGTATTCCCAGTTAGAGAAACATTAACAAGTTAACTACATATCTAAAGAGAATGGAGTTAGAACAAATGAATTATTAAGGGGAGAGTTTGGAGAAACAAAGAACATGAAAGGGTGGGTAGGATCTGGGTGATGATGACTGATATGTACTAGTTACATTTTTTTTTCTTTTCAAAATCTTATTTAAAAGGCTACAGATGACAACAAAATCAAAGTGTTTGTTAGTACACCTTTCCTTAAATGTGGAGTTTCGGCAGAAACTGAATGGCGGAAGAATAAAGATAAGACCACGTCTTTTTGTCTGAATAGCCCTGAAAAGGACTATCAAGAAATGGATGTGACGTCACAGGATACCTCCCAACCAACTTTAGATAAACTGGATGTGAGCAAAGAAAACAGCAGTGCCTCGGCCAGATCAGACCAGACATCCTTAGAGTATCAGGATGCACCATTACCAGAAGACTTTGAAGATACTGTTCTCATTGCCTCTGAGCCAGCAAGCTCTTCCACTCAAGTAATTACTAATTTAACTGAACAGACTGAGAAGGAGGAAGTTAAAGAGTCAGAAGTAACTCCTCGAGGTCTGGAGAAACAGTTAGGTAAGGACTATTTCAGATACCAAAATCGCATTCATTGTCCTTCGATAAAACTTGTTCGTGTGCCTTTTTTTTTTTTTTTTTTAAGAGGTTTTTGCTATAGGGCGTGTGCACTCACCAGAAAGACAAAAGAGAGACAGACACAGCAAGAAATCACCCCCTTGGGGGGGGGTGGCCACACTGCAATCCATTTGCCTCTCGGGATCTTGGGCACACATGCACACGTGATTGGCGTGAGTTTAAGCCACCAGGTCCAGGACTTGAACCATAGTCGACTATATGGGAGTCCAGCAACACAGCCATTACGCTAACTGCTGGTCCCAATAAAACTTCTAATAGGGCGACCAGCACATGGCGTAATGTTGCTGGATTCCCAATAAAACTTCTAATAGGGTGACCAGCACATGGTTATGTTACTAGACTCCCACGTAGTCAACTGCCGTTCAAGTCCCGGACCCATCAACTTCAAACTCAGCTGGCCATGTGTGCGAGTATGCCCGAAACCCCAAGAAGAGAATAGAGGAGGAAGGATTTCAGCATGACCATCTCCCCTGAGGGGTGATGTCTCACTTTCTGTTGCTCTGTATCTTTGGTGAGCCCACACACCCTATTTTTTTTTTATTGGATTTTCTCCATCATAAGCATCAAGTTTAAATAATTATTACATGCAGTGTATTGGGCCTAGACATAATACATAAGCCTTGTTCTTTCAACTTAGGAGTTTGTTCCATAAGTAGTTATGAGTGTGTTACTTTTCTTACGTAGCCATGAAATTTGGAAAAGAACAGTAATGTTTAAGAAAGGAAATTGGGCCAGCAGGTGACCTAGCGGTTTCCACATTTTCAGCTGCACGGTTTGAATCCTAGACTTGGCAGCTTGAAAAAAAACCCTGAGCCTGTTTGCTTATGGGCCCAAAATCCCAAGAGGAAACTGGAAGGGAAGGGATTATGGCATGGTTGTCCCTCCTAGGAAGTGGTATCTCACTTTCTCTTTCTGTCTCTGGTGAGTACACACACCCATAACAAAACTTAAAAAAAAAAAAAAAAAAAAAGAGAGAAAGAAAGAAAGAAGGCACTGTAGTGTCTGGTGAGAGAAAGTACAGTAAAACAAACTATTTTAAATTAAGTAATTAATCCTTTAGGAAATATTTTTCACCTAGGCCAAACTAGGGTTTCTTTAGATGTGACAATGAAATTTGGGCTGTGTTGTCTTTATTTAGTAAACATAAGTGTTAGTAATTTCTCTAAGAACTTCAGAGCTGTGCTTATAAATAGTATATGTCTAGAAATGTATGTTGCTCATTTGACGTGTTATGTTCCATTTAAATATTTAAATGGTTAATATTGGGTTATGTTTATAGCAGTATCTTCATTGATTATTCTTACAGCATTAGGTAGTCTCAAATAGAAATCTTTATTGTTTTTGTGGGAGACTATCGAACACAAACTCTAGAATAAAACAAGCTAAATTTTAATCCTAGCTCTGCTACTTTTTAAGTAAACTTTGTGATCTGGGGTCAGCCATGTAATTATGTGCTTCAGTTTTCTCATCTGTGCCTTTAGATCTTGAACATTGAGTTAATAAATGTAAAACATTTGTATTAATGCCTGTTTAAATCTAAAGTGAAAAGTGAGAGTTTGGGTACAGCTCTCGAGCTAGGCTCAGATGATTTGAGGAAGGAAATGCTACCAGCCTATGCCAAGGGAGTAAACCTAAAGGAACAAAAAAATAGACCCAGCCTTTTAAAAAGTAATAGTCTGGGGTGGCCGGCCAGTGGTTAAGGCAGCTGGACTCCCACTTGGTTGACGGTGGTTCGAGTCCTGGACCTAGCAGCTTGCTTTCTCACTTTCCTTCTCTCTCTCCCTGTCTCTTTCTGATCAACTTACTTACATACATACATACATACATAAATACACACAGTAAAGTAAGTAAGTAATATTCTGGGGCCAGCAGGTGATGTGGTGGTTAAGCCACTGGACTGTCATATGGTGGACTATAGTTTGAGTCCTGGACCCAGCACCTTGAAAATTACACCAGGTACATCTGCATGTGTGCCCAAAATCCCAAAAGAATGGAGGACAAAAGATTGCTGTGTGGCCATCTTCCCTCGGGAGTGGTTGCTCATCTCCAGCTCTATAGAGAGTGCACATGCCCTGTGGCAAAAAACCTTTAAATAAATGAATAAGTAAATATAAGTTATAGTCCAAGAGCATGAGTAATCACTAAACATTTAGCCTAAATATTTCTATTTGTATTATTTTTATAGGTACTGTAGAAGATTCAGCAGCAAAGGACCTCATAGTTACAGAGGAGGCATTTTCAGAATTAAGCCGCAGTCAAGGAGTTGAAGCTTCTCTTTGTGTACCATCAGTCCAGGAAGGGTAAGTGTATGGAGAAAGCTGTAAGTATTTTTAAAAACAAGTTTAATAAAATTGATACTGTAATAAAAGGTTCTGTGCATATTAGATACTGTTTGGATCTTTGACATCTCCATTTTAGTCTTGTCTGCTTTGAAAGAGGTTCAGTTGTGTAAGTATATTACTCAGTAGTTACCATGAAAATCTTACAGTGCTGCTAAACATTTCTGAACTGTACAGAGAAGTGATAAATTGAAGTAGAACTCTTTTAATTTCTTCAGTGAGTCTGTTTTTGTTGAGGGCCAAACCCTTTACCCACAACTCTGCTTTCCTTCTTACCCTCCCCTTATCAGCGGTTCTGGGATGATCCAGCATAAGACTCCTTTAGGAGAGATGACTCGGAGATAATTTCGTTCCCTACCATTTGGTCAATACAAGACTAAGTTTTTGTTTCTTAATGACAAATTGAAATATCATTCTCCTAAATTTTATTGACACTTTTCCAGGAGAGGCAATATACTAGGTGATATAGGGCTGTGCTATTCAAAGCATAGTATGGCAAATTGGGGTCAGTTCCAAACAATTATGGTCTGCAGCAAGATAAGCAGTTTGCATTAGAATATGTCAGTGCACTATTTCCCTTATTGAGAGTCAGTGGAACTAATCGGTATGATTGCTGAAGTAACTGAGTCACCTTATTGCAGAAGCACCTTGTCTCATTGTAAAATCGGATGTGCTTGCACATGAGCACTTGGAGAAGCACTGCTGTAGAGAATACAGAAAAGTAATCACTTCAGTTACAAGAAGTAGTAAGAGCGATTAGTAACATTAGCCCACATAAAATACTGTCATTAAGGATACTGTAAATGGCTCATTCATTTAGGAGAGTCTCCACAAAACACAAAGTTCAGTATCATAATAGTTCTTCATATGTGGAGATCGATCACATGCTTTTACTTTTGAAAAGAGAAATTCAGATTAGGTGGAATCTACTAGGCTTTCCTGGAAAACATGAGAAAAACCAGTATGAGGGGCTGGCAAGTGGCATGGTGGTTAAGGGTGCTGGACTCCCACATGGCCGACCGTGGTTCGAGTCTCAGACCTGGTGGCTTGCTTTCTCACTTCCTCTCTATTTCTCTGTCTCTCTCTGATCAAACTGGAAAATAACAATGATAATAAAAATAAAGTTAAATAAAATAATTCTTTTTAAAAAACCAGTATGAAAGGGATCATCCAGATTATTTTGTTCTCTAATGGCTTTTTAGTTTTTGAATACTGATGTTATTTATTACAATGGGTTTGACCTGCACCAAAGCAAAGAGCAATCATGAAAAGCTTTGTGGTGAGCAGTAAGAATGTAAAAGAAATGATTAGTCACCATGATGGCAAGCTAATTCCTTTCTAAACGTTATCTTACTTGATACTTTGTAGAGATTTATTACCAGTTCTCAGTTGTCCTTACTAAAAATACTGTGACTGACATAAGCCTTACAGAAATCTATAAATCAATGCATATGTATTTGAAGTATCAGCTTCTTCTGAATTGAGGTTATTCATCCTGTTATCTATGTATTTATTGTTAGGGTGGAGAAAGTACCCCCAGTGTGGTGTAGTCATGCCACAGTCCTTTTTCCTCCATTTTTCCTTCCCATCAGGGTTTGGGCACACATACCCAGTGCGTTTTTCAGGTCTCCAGTTCTGGAATTTGGATTCACATCTCTTAACTGCCTAGCTGCAGACTGGCCCTGTCCTGTTTAAAAGTCAGCCTGCTTTGGTTGGGTTTTAGGGAAAGGCCAGCTCAGAATAATAATAAGAAACAACTGTTAGCACATCCCCGAAATTATTTTCATTACATGGATTAATACAGATCTTCATTGGTATCCCATTCTGAGTCTGTTGTTATCCTCGTCCCAGTTAGTTACCAGTATATTGAACTGATTACCTGAGTTCATAGGAAGTACTTCAGAGAGTACTTGACAGACTTGCTGAAGAACATGACCACAGATTATTAAAAATTGGCTTGGGACCAACAGTTGGCATAACGTCTACATTGCTGGCCTCCCATGTAGTTGACTGCAGTTCGAGTCCCGGACCCAGCGGCTTTAACTCATGCTGGGCGAGTGTGCGTGCATGCCCAAGATCCCAAGAGGAGAATGGAGGAGAAGGAATTGTGGCGTGGCCATCCCCCCTGGGGGGTGATTTCTCGCTTTCTGTCTCTCTGTCTGTCTCTATCTTTCTGGCAAGCGCACGCGCCCTATAGCGAAAACCTCTCCAAAATAAAAAAAGAAAGTAAAATATTAGAAAATAAGAAAAACAGGTACAGCATTATTTTTGAATTCAGTTGTATATTGTAGAATGTTATTTATAATGAGCTTTGAAGGGGGCCAGCAGGTGGTATGGTGGTTAAGGCACTGGACTCCCACTGTCAGCTATAGTTTGAGTCCCAGACCTGGCGGCTTGCCTTCTCACTTTACCTCTCTCTCTGGTCAAATTTAATAATAATAATAATAATAATAATACATTAAATTAAAATTATTTTTAAAAATATGCTTGAATGTTATTGATTTCTCTGAATCTCTGTTTTCATCAACAAAATGGTAGGAAAGACAATAGGCAGATTAGAGGAGATGGGATCTTTTTATTTCCTAATACACATTTTTATTTCTAAAGGAAAATCCTCACCCTAAAGTCCAAAGTACCAGTTTTGGATGAAGTATTAGTGTCTGTTGAAGCCTGCACCTCTACAATTAGAGCAGATAACAATAAACGTATGTATTATTTTTACTTTACTCAAGACTATTGATAAAATGAAAAAAAACCCTGAAGTTTTCTATTCTTAAATAAGCCTGTTTTTCAAATTTTCTTTTCTCAACTCTCTTTCTCTGGTCACCTTCACTGTCATTAAAACAGTCTAAGATGTCATCAGCTGTCAAAATACTAGGCTGCTTATAAGGCATTCTGTGGCTCTAATACTGAAAGTTAACATCTTCTATGACTCATGTCTACATAGGACAGATTCCATTGTTCTGTGTTTGTGATAACTTAAGGCCAAGATTGGTTTTTCATTATTATAAAATGATCAAAATGACTGAATTTAGGAAAATTAAATACATGGAATTCATTTAATACTTTTATCCAATGAACATTTCATTTTGAGTGTCTTCTCTCAGACCCAAGCCATACAGAAATGAAGAAGAAGATGCTGTCAGTGAGCTCATGACTGAGTTTCAGAAAAGCATAATGCCTGTGCCTATAATTTGTCTTAAGTATTTCACATGTGTTAACTCATTTGTCCTCACAGTGTTATGACTCAGTTGTTGTCTGACTCTAGAGCCTATGGTTTTAAATATTATATCTTTCCACTGTCACGTTATGAATAGAGCTTTCAACAAGTTTGAGCTGACCTGTTTTGGAAACTTGGTTAATATATGCATATTACTAAATAATCCAGAGAATTGTCTAACCTGTAAAGTATAACCTTGTTTACCTATTTTAGGGATCCATTACTTACTAAAGTGTCTTTTTCCTGAATTTCTGTTTCCATGTATTTTTTTTCTCCATGCTTTGAAAGAGTAAGTAAGTATGGTGGCTAAAGAGTACAAGGGCTTGGGAACCAGCAGTTAGGGCAGTGGCTATGTCGCTGGACTCCCACGTAGTCGACCGCGGTTCGTGTCCTGAACCCAGTGGCTTAAAACTCACACCGGGCGCGTGTGTGTGCGTGCCCAAGATCCTGCGAGGAGAATGGAGGAGAAGGGATTGTGGCGTGACCATCCCCTCTGGGGGGTGATTTCTCACTTTCTGTCTCTATATCTCTCTCTGTCTGTCTGGCGAGCGCACGCGCCTGTAGCGAAAACCTCTCAAAAAAAAAGAGTACAGGGGCTTGAACCAGACTGCTTGGGTTCATAATCTAGTTTTGCCCTTAATTAAGACAACAATTAGAGTAGTCGTTATTAATAAAGTTCAATAGATAGTAGCTATTTTAACTAAGTATTCCAATATCAGTACATTTATTATCAAAAACACAAACGTTCTCTAGTTAATCTATTTAAAACATTTTTCCAGTATTATGGATTGGTGCTGCTCTGTTCAATGAATTAGTAGTAGTCCATAATGTAGACATTCTGTGGTATGTTTAACTGCTTATTAGTGAATATTTAGGCTGATGACTGTTTTCTCGCAGAAGATTGTGTATATTAACTTTCATGTACCAGTGAGGGGAAAGTAAAATTCCTATTTTTGTCACTCCCCTTTGCTAAACTGACAGAGAGCATGTTTTATTTTGTTTTACTAGTATTTGCATATTAAGGATAATACCCCATTATCTGTTAGGGTGATTTTTTTTTTTTTTTTTTTTTTTTTTTTTTTTTTTTTTTTTTTGGGTGGCACTTTTTCTCCG